GGCTGTGGCTTTTTGCACAGACTTGTCGGTTCAGCTTCCCTCTTAAATTCTGGTGCCTCGAAGCCAAGGGACTGGGGGGGGGGGGGGGGGGGGTTGATGTCTTGGTATCTTGGTGTCTTGTCATCTTTTCCCGGACGCCATGATTTTGGTGGCTAAGGCCTGGGCACTTGGTATGTCCAGGAATACATATGGCCCCAGCCGTATCCCACCCGGACGGGAAGAGGGGGATTATTGAATTATCGAAATTATCGAAATTGACCTCATAACCTGGGAGTTCAATTCCAAACCCTGAATGTAGACAATACAGGATATTGAATATCCACACGTGAGTTGCCTCTACGTATAGTCACATAACTTGATTTTCCCAGAGGTCGGAGTGCACAAGTACGGCTATTGTCCCCCGACGCTAACCCCCATAATTGATGTGTGTCTTATCCACTTTCCAACTCCACCGTCTCCAATGTTGTTGGTCACTGTATGGAAGTTAGTCCACTGGTTCTCTCAATTGTACTATGTACTCCGGATTTTCGTCTGGATCGGCACTGTACGCTATACTTTGTACTCAGTACATCATATATGTCCTAATCATACAAGTACACACGTACAATATAGGATATAGCAGACACTTTAGAATATACTACACAATTCTAATGCACAATGCCAAGATCATAAGGGTTTCACTCTACTATGTCCAGGGTCTTGATACTACATTGGCTTGGCCTATCACGATGTCAACATTCAACTCGGCATTGAGTACTCCGAATGGCTATAACCCCTGTACACGACATCACGTATATAGTACACTATATATTGTCTGCCCCTCTCATACCCCCTCCATACATAGTAATTGTGCACTAACCTGGGATATCGGAAAGTCTGGCCCAGAAATGACGCTAATGCAGCGCATTGACATATTGACTTTCCAAGATTGTCAATAAAAAAACCTGGAATTACTTGGAATTACTATCCTCGCTTCCAATTTCTATTCTGTTCAAAGCAACTTTTCCGAGGATTCCCCTGTCAGACGGGAACGCTAAGCACATTCCTTCCACACCCCTGGACAACCCTCCCAACACCACATCAACATCAACATCACCATCACCATCACCATCACCATCACCATCACCATCACCATCACCATGGCATCCAATTACCCAATTCTCCCGGAGAAGCTCCTCCTCATCTCCCTTAAGATGTACTTCACCCCAGAGCGCACCCTTACCTACCTCCGCGAACTCCTCAAACCCTCCAACGAAATCGTCCACCCAGCAAACCGCAACAAACTCCTCCTAGCTCTAATCCCAGACTTCCTAACCATCTGGCCCTGCGCCCAAATTCTCAAAGAATATGAAGCCACCCTAACCACCGACACTGCCCAATCTACACCCCCCTTCCTCCTAGGCGCACAAGACTGCTTCTGGGAACCCCAAGGCGCATACACAGGCGAAGTCTCACCCGCCTCAATCCGCGCCCTAGGCTGCACAATCGTCGAACTAGGCCACGCCGAGCGCCGCTCCATCTTCAACGAATCAGACGACCAAACAGCCCGCAAGGCAGCTGCAACCTGCGCACAGCATATGGTCCCGCTCGTTTGCGTAGGCGAGGTCACTGCCCCCGGCCCCGTCGTCTCGCAGGCTGTCGGCCAGGCTGTCACCGAGTGTGCGGTGTTGGTGCGCGCAGTGTTGGCGGCTATTCCGGACGACGCGCCCGTTATCTTTGCCTACGAGCCTGTTTGGGCGATTGGACAGCCCAAGCCGGCGGGTGTGGATCACGTCGCTGCTGTTGTGCAGGGTATCCGCGCTGTTATTGGGGCCCGCCCGGGTACGGCTCGTGTTTTGTATGGGGGTAGTGCGGGGCCTGGACTTTGGGGGAAGGGTGGCCTTGGTCACGCTGTTGATGGGATGTTTTTGGGCAGGTTCGCGCATGAAATCGATGGCGTGCGTGAGGTTGTTCGTGAGGTGGAGGAGACGTTGGCTGTCGCGTGATGTATGTGGTTTTCTTCACTAATGCTGGCTACGCCACATACCCCAGGTACTCGACATCTTGACACCTTGACACCTTAACACATCTACAATTATACAGTTTACGGTATTGTGTATACGGTTCCTCGTCATGGTTATACGGAAAAGTACATAAACAGAAAACCAAAACTACCAAACAGGCGCATCTAGACAAAACTCCTCATGGGATCAAAAACCAGAAAAAGTGGAAAGCTGAACCAGTTTCCTCTCTCGGGAAGCCTATCTGGGGGAACCCGAAACCCACAACTTCCCCGGGTTCTTTAAGTCACGCGGCCGATCAGAGATTTGTGTCTCAGATGACTTTTAAAGCTTTTTAGCTTGCCATAGGCCTTCGATGTCAAGCTCTTCCGGTCCACTTCCGTGCTTAATGTGGGGTTGTGGACTCTTGGAGCTCCGTTTTGCACTGATCGAGTAATCCGAGCTCTATAGCTTAAGGCATCCTCGAGGACATTATCCACTCAATTCCAACTGACCATACATTATCAATACCCCTTTTTTTATTTATTCTCGGCATTGCCTTACTCGGTCGTTCCATTGCATACAATCTCTGCCCGGTGCCGATTGAATTTCTCGGGCGAGAAACCATGCAGACGAATAAAGAATATTGCTTTTCATGTTCATATCCATGTTATTTACAGGATCTATCAAAGACCGAGAATAAATAAATAAAAAAACAAATAAAATCATACTTCACACCGCTTATTTCTTAAGCTCTTCACGCAGCTCCTGCTTGACCCGCGTGACAGTACCAACACCACCGTAGACAATACCGGTGTACATCATAGCCACGGAAGCGCCGGCATCGAGAGCCGCGCGCGCCTCCTTGCCGGTAGTGATACCGCCCGAAGCGAAGATAACCTTCCGAGGAAGCTCGGACACTTTCTCGACAGACTTGTCCGATTCGGTCGCAGATGGGGGTCCCTGGTCAAGCAGGGCGCGGTAGCGGGCGACGAGCGCAACGGAGCGGTCAAACAGCTGGGGGCCGGAGTAACCGCCGGTTTCCTTGAGGGTCTTTTGTTCTTCGGCGGGGAGGACGAAGCCCTGGGGCACGGGATCGGGGCGACGGTTGGTGGTGTTGCCGACGATGACGCCGTCGACGCCGGAGTTCCAGACAGCCTCGCAGATGCCGGAGATCTGCTCGGTGGAGTCCTCATCCGGGCTAACCTTGACCATCACGTAGGGCTTGGTCTTGCGCTCGACGTTCTTGGCGGAGGCGACGACCGCCGTCAGGATTGCCGTGAGAGGTGCGGCGGCTTGGAGGTCGCGTAGGCCGGGGGTGTTAGGGCTAGAGACGTTCACGACGAGGATGTCGGCGTACGGCGCCACTCGGTCCACGCAGTAGACGTAGTCGCGCTTGATGGCTTCGATGTCTCCGTCCGGTGTGAGCTTGTTCTTGGCAACTTGCACGGCGAGAAGCTTGCCCGGGACCAGACTTCCGGGCGGGACGCCGGCTTCGCCGTCCAAGACGCGCTGCTCGGATTGTTCGTTTAGGCCAAATCCGGCGGCGTAGGCGAAGTCAGCTACGCGCTGCTTCAGCACTTTGGCCATGTGGTCGGCGCCCTTGGAGTTGAGGCCGTAACGGTTGATCATGGCGTGTTGCGAGGGCAGTCGGAACACTCGAGGCTTAGGGTTTCCTTCCTGGGGCAGAGGGGTGGTGCCGCCCACCTCGACGATGGCGGGACCGATATCGAGCAGCGCATCGGGGACCTCGGCGTGCTTGTCGAGACCGGCGGAGATACCGATGGGGTTGGAAAGTGTGTACCCAAAGACCTGGACGGATATCGTCAGTGATTGGCTATAGGCCGAGTTTGGAATGCCATTACCTCAGTTGCCAGGGCACCATCACTATCCGGGTCGCCACGCTCGCGCGGGTGGAGACCATACTTGTAGAGCATCTTCAGGTTCTCCACGCCGGTGTGGTGCGCATCCTCCGCATCGGGCCACAGGAGGCGGATCAAGGGCACAATGCCGTATCTGTGGATGCTGGCTCTGGTGTCGGTTCCGTAGATATAGCCCACCAGCAGGGTCAAGGCCAATGAGGCACCGTACAAGGCCTTCTTGGACCCACGGCCCGCTTTGCGAGGGATCTCCTTGGCGGCTTCCTTTGTAGCATCCTTCACTGTTTCCTTGGCTGCCTCAGCGGGCGCAACCGAGTCTGAAGCATATCGCGAAGCACCGGGGTAGCGCTGGGCCTTCTGTAGCAATGCCGATGGCCGCTGGCTCAAGCGGGAGGTAGGAAGGGCGCGAGCCCGGACGCTGGCTCTCCAGGCCATTGTTGCGGAGTTACACGCCATTTTGAATGTGTGTGGAGCTAATTATCTTCGCCGGCGGAGCAACGGCAACGCCCGATCGAACCTATATAGCGGTTAGTACTTGCGATTGATAGTGGATTGTCACTGGGGCCGGGGAGCTAGTCAAGTTCCAATCGACTCGCATTGTAGAATAGCCAATGGGGACCGTACAAACAGGTCATTATGCACCTGATAAATCACTTACAATTGCAATTGAGCACGTTCCGAGGTTCTCGCACGTTCCCTTGCGGTTCTCGAGGGCGGATTCGGGTTCTTTGCTGCACAATCCGGGCGGTGGCAATAAGTCCTGCAGAATATCTAGAGCGGTGGCCTCACGTATAGGTACATCGCAGGATGTTCACTTATGTACTTTATCTTCGTTTATGATTTGAGTAATTGTTGGTGATTGCTGGCTAATTTGGGGTAGATTTGAACTTCATATCTCGAATAATGTATAGGCTTTATATGCAGAATGAACGAAATATATTGACTGACGATCTTCTCTTCGATGATCACGAGCTCGTATCTGGCAACAGTGTCAAAGCCCAGCTATGACTGACTTGACTTCTACCTTCCACATATTGCGAATTCTTCAGTTTGGCCCTATATCTGAACAAAACCCCATCTCAAGTCTTGCTGTAATTGTTTAATCTCAATACAAAATCGCGTGCCAGAAAACCCAGCCAGGATGAGGACGCAAGGAAGAACAACCAACTCTTCAGCGGTGGGATTTGATCATGTCTGCTTTGACGAGGAGGACAATTCCCCTGCTCAGGAGCATTCACCCTCGCAGGGAGACTTCACGAATACTATCCCTGAAGCGGCGCCTCAGCTCAATCGTGCAAAGGAGCCCTACCGTTCATTCAACGTCTTCAAAGATGTATGTTAGCAGCATTTATCGATGCATGGCTGTGTCCATATAAGCCTTCATAAATTCACAAAAGAAAGCTCATCAATCTACGCAGGTAGCACTCGGCACAAATGCCTGGAGCTTTTGCCTTCAAGTCCACCCTTCTGGGGGACTTTCTCAATCTCCAAGCCCAGTATATCACACCTTGCGCATCCCTTGGTATCGCCAAGGCCTTTACTTGCCAGCTTCATTTGATCTATACTCAGGTGGCAATGTCGTACGCAGCCGGAAAGACCCATCTCCCGAGCCTCAAGACCACCGCGCGCACATTCACTACCGTGGCTTTGAGGGTTTACTCGGTCTCCACGTGACGGTAGATATCTTTCGCCAATTAGGTTCTAATGCTCTTCAAAATGAGCTTCCGGACTCTGGGAGAAGTTCCTCGAACCTTGTCAAGCACTGCTCGGTGGACATTGTTCGGAAGGGAATGGGTAGGACTTACTGTGTTGAGATTGCTGATGGCGGGGCTGTCAAAACATTCTACTGGAAAGGGTCCAAGACTGCATTGTCTCTCCTTGAAGCCGAAGGGAAGGATTCTGGTTCTACTTATGGGAACGGCAATCTGAAGTTCTTTGCTGCGGGTAAACCAGATGATATTCTTGCGGTGTGGCAAAATAGAACCGATCGACAAATTCTAGGATCCTTGAACGTTCTCGCCGAGCTTGATGCTAATTCTGATGGGATCCTTGAAGGGTTGATGGTAAGTTGCCTGGCAGTGGTTGTTGCAGAAAGAGTTTCCGGGCGAGGGTGGATAGGTGGCCTAGGGAAGTCAAGGAACTCTTAGGGAATTAAGTTGAAGGAGATTAGTTCATTGTCAGGTTTAGACTATCGAAACGTGCGAATAAAAGTTAGAGGGGTTAGCGGGTCCTTGGACTTGACGGATTGCAGCAGCAGGAGTCCAAGATGAGGTTGAGGGTATCACTAAAACGAATAGCAAAGAAACCACAATAAACTATTGGCAAGATATCAAATGATAATACCAAAGAAAGTCAACGCCAAGATTGCTATCATCTGGGTCGACAGAGTGATTTTGACCTAGCCCTAATTAGAGCACAAGAGAAAACCCCCAAGGCAGATCAATGCTTCTAGGCAAGATCAGGTCTCCCAGTTATGTGTCCAATCAGGCAATCATTACATCTGCCAGGAAGATATCAGGAGATTCCACATAGAATGGGGCATATCTTTCAATTCAACGGCTATGATTGGCATATTAATATAATGTGTCGGGTTTGGTCGGTTATATATAAATTTCACGGTCAGTTATAGTATAACAATTTATCGAATGTAATTTCTCCTCGGCTTCTAAAGACGTGGAACTGGTAGAAAGGTTTTGCCTTTCCTTGAATTGCTTTATCTTTTTTTGTCTTCTTTTTTTGTCTTTGATTATTAGTTGGAAGGCACCTCTAATTCTACAAATAAAATAGTACCTTAAGTCTAGAAGTAGTAGTATTTTCTTTGCTATCAAGGCAAATATACTATTTTGGAGCCCTAAAGTACGCTGCACCTACTGGGGGATTCTCAAGACCACTCTGCCATCAATCTCCGAGCGCTCCAGGCGGTCCAACACATCATTGATATCGTCCAACTCAAAGACGTCAATATGCGCCTTCACATCGCCAGCCACGGCCATAGCCATCATCTCATCCATCTCATCCGCTGTTCCTGCGGAGTTTCCGACAATAGTGAGACCTGTATCAGTTGGTCAGACCAAATCATGTGTTGAATTGCATAATTGCCAGAGAAACTCACCTTTGACAATCATATCGAATGGTGTAGCTGGAAGGTTGAATGGCTTGTTGGGAATACCGACGCAGACCAGCGTGCCAAAAGGACGCAACATATGCATACTTTGTTCATATGCTCGCTCGCTGTTGGCGGTACAGATGACAGCGTGTACACCAAATGTTGTCTTATCTTTGACTGCCTGGACGATGTCAACTTCGCGGTAGTCCAGGAATTCTGTGGCCCCAAGCGAAAGGCATAGTTGCTTTTTCTTCTCTCCACTTTAGAAGCACCATTAGGTTAGTTTGCTATGAAGATGACAGAAAATGCTCAACTTGAATCGTCACATACCTGTCAATCGCAATAACCTTAAGGCCCTTTTTAGCGGCAATTTGAATTCCCCTGTAAGGAGTATATTGTTAGAAAACAAAGCTTCCAGTCACCGAAAATTGGGGAAATGTACATATGACCAAGGCCACCTCCAGCACCGAGGATGGCAAGATAGTTTCCCGGGCGAGTCTTGGTCTTCATGATGGAAGAGTACATAGCAATTCCAGCTGGGGATAGTGATTAGCCTTTGTGCTGGCAAAATGCCAATGGGAAAAACATACCACACAAAAGAGGCGCGGCACTATCTGGTGAAAGCTGCTCCGGAATCTTTGTTACATGGAGTGCTGGGCTGACAATATACTCTGAGGCATGGTATTAGAGGTGTTCCAATGGACTGGATGATCGCACTGAAAGATAGAAGACTTACGCTGGAAAGTTCCAGGCACATTCTGCAAACCATGCAATCAGTAACGGAAACAATGACATGATTGGGGTGATCAACAACTTACTGCACCAGCATTCTTCTGATACGGGCATACGGTATGGTTGACTTCGCAAATTTCACACTGGCGACAAGAGCTGTAGAGCCATCTAATAGTGGAAATGGGTTCAGCGTCAATATAACTTCAACCAGACGACCAATTGGGGATGAAGGAGACAGACCTGATACCAACTCGGGTTCCCATCCATTGTTTCTCGTCGACCTCCGGTCCCACTAAGTGTAACGATCAATGTTAGTATATGATCTGGACTGTGTTCAACCTGATGTAGCGATAGTTCTTACCTTTGACTACTTTGCCAATACCTTCATGACCCGCGACATCAGTCAACATAGGCGTGTCACCGCGGATGCTGTGAATATCCGAGTGACATACTCCAGAAAACTCGAGCTTGACAAGGATTTCGCCTTTTCCAGGAATTGGCACGGGGCGATTGCTCTTGATCCCCACCTTTGCGGAGACGGAAGTAGTTTTGGGGGCGATAACAGCAGCGATTTGAATTGGGGGGATTGGGACCGACATGTTACTCTATGAATATTTAAGATCAATTGGAGAAAGTCAGTGAATCTTTAGGACACTTGGCTTAAATAGTTCGGTAGTTGAGGTCTGATCCGATAAACGGCATTCGTATCGTAGATGCGGGGGTGGAAGGATGCAAAGATAAGCAGAAACAATTAGCAGATGCCAAGATACAATTGGAAAGGTGTCGAATTTAGGGGCAGGTTAGGCAGTTTAGGCAGGTTAGAGACGAAGATGAAGATATCAATACGAATAATTACGAACTCGGGAATAAATCGGACACTTCTCTTTTACACAGTTCAGTGTCAACAATTTAATTAAACAATTATGTGTAAGCCGGAGGTCTGACATCGGAAATCATGAAGGAATATAAGACAAGGACTCTGCTAGGCAGAGTCGAAGGGAAGAAGTGGCACAGCACTCCGAATGCAGAAGGACTCCGAGTCGTGCAAGAAACTCGAACACCAAGGTATCAAAGATGAAATTCTAAACCCGACATAGAAAACGCCAGAAAATCATGCATTCTCGGACTGGATTGTTTGCTGCGAGTAGAGGGATAGTTAGTTTGAGGAACCAGATTAAGTTGAGGGAGAGAAACGAACCACCAGCCAATCCATTCCCTCATTAATACCCTTGCCATCGATGGCAGAGCAAGCGACAATACTCCAGTTTCGGTCCCGCAGCTCTCCCAGCTTCAAAGCCTCTGAGATTTCGCCTGCACCCTTGGCGCCAGGTTGATCCTGTTTGTTGGCAAACACCAGCAATGCCGCGTCGTGAAGTTCCTCTTCATTCAACATGGCTGCTAATTCATCTGCTGCAGTCCCTAACCGCTCAATATCTGTGGAGTCGATGACGAAGACCACAGCGGCCGTGTTGGCGTAGTAGCATCGCCAGTATGGGCGGATAGAAGTTTGGCCTCCAAGATCCTACAATCCAGGGATGTTAATTATGACCCAAAGTTCGAGGTGGGTAAAACATACCCAGACGTTAAGATTGAGATTCTTATATGTGACCGATTCGACGTTGAACCCGATTGTAGGTATCGTGGTGACGACCTCACCAATCTGTGGGCGCAAGGTGTTAGCTCCACGAAACTCACACTTAAATGCGCCAGGAAACCAAAGCCAGAAAGTCATAATATCTTACCTTGAGTCTGTACAGCAAAGTAGTCTTTCCAGCGTTATCCTAAATCCACGAAATAACGTTAGTTAGTTTCAGTCCTGGTCACACTAATGAGATCCTGCTTTCCCCGCGTGGGATGCAGTGAGACACAACGTACAAGTCCTAGAATCAGGATCCGGATCTCCTTCTTGGACCAGAGCAGGGACCAGATACGCGATAGTGAACCTCCCATGGTGTGTATGATTAATCAGTGGGCGCGTTCACTGTTGTTGTCCTTCAGTTCAAAGGTTGTCGGGGCAAGTATGGAGCCGAGGATGATAAGTTGAGGGGCGCGTAGGTCGTATGGATCGAGTGAAAGGAGACAAACTCGCTATGGGGTTATGGTACACGTAGATGAGATAGAGAGGTGAAAGAGAAGAAGGCACTGGTGGCAACCGCATTGGATGTTCTTTGGCCGATCGGCCTGTGCGGTGTGGGCGGTCAATCGGGGGATCATCATCTTGCGGGATTGAGCTCTCCTCATTTAGAAAACCCCATTGTCTTTTTCCCTTTGTCATATTTTTGTCTTGATCACTTTTATCGCATTCTACGCGACTACCACTCACTATCTGATGTACAATTAGGGAACTGCAGTTACCTCCGGCGCACTCCCTAGATTTGCCGCGATTAGTCTTAATTGAAGACAGCCGACCACAGACCGATACCAATCATGGTTGGAAAGAAGTCGGGCAAGGCCCTCCGCGATGAGGGTAAGATCATCCGACCGAACTGGTGGAATATATCCGTCAACGACAGAGCAGCTAACACTTGACATAGGCCTGGAGCGGACCGACAATAACATGGAATTATCCAGCTGGCCGCAGATCCCAGCAATCAACCAGAAGAACTACTACACGTACGCATACACAGGCCGATATCTGCCGCAGTTGAGAACTTGAATGCTGATTGCGCTATGTAGCGACTACCTCAAACGAGACGATCAAAACCTCGCGTTCCGACTCCAAAACGAGGAAGCAAGGACAAAGATGACCAAGAAAGCGAAGGATCACGACCGTGCCCTCGCTATGGCCAAGACCGAGACCGCGGAAGGCGAGGGTGAAGCAGATGGCGATACCCACATGGAGGATGCGGAGGAGACCCCAGCCGAGATGGCTGGCTCCAAGGTTATTATCATCCATATGGGCAGTCAGAACCTCCGGATTGGACTTGCCAGCGACGCACTGCCGAAAACCTTGCCAATGGTAATTGCGAGGAAAGCAACCACCAACGAATCCGAAGACCATGGTGAACCTAAGCCCAAGAGGTTTAAACATGAGGATGGCTCTGAAATGGAGCCCGAAAAGGCCTTTGGATCTGAAGTATGTCTAGTGTAGTTTCATTGAGATGGGCTTGTACTAATTCTTCTGATAGTGGTCGTCTCATTTCAACCGGATGTCTGCGGATTTGAAGGTGCACATGCGACAGAACAAGCGAAGAATGCTTCCAAACTCTAAGGAGATGGTTGTTAACTATAACCGCAGGACCGTGCCAGAAATTATCTCTGAACACAATGATCCAATGCGTGCTGAATGGACCGAGCTCTCTAATCCCCCGCCAGAGTATATTGTCGGAAAGCCGGCTCTGCGGGTACCGGATTCTTCAAAGCCTCGATACAAGCTGTATTGGCCAATCCAGAATGGTTGGTGCAACGAGAAGGACTATACAAGCAAGAGGGCACTATTTCTGGATATTTCATTGATCGTGGAAGATGCGATCAAGAATCAACTGCACTTGACGAGCAAGAAGGATTGGACTCAGTATTCGTGTGTGTTCGTCATCCCGGATCTTTACGACAAGTCCTATGTCACCCAAGTCTTGGATATGTTGATGCGAGAATTTGCGTTCGCTCGGGTGTGTTTCATCCAAGAGAGTCTGGCAGCCACCTTTGGTGCCGGCTTCACCTCGGCATGTGTTGTCGATATCGGAGCGCAGAAGACTTCGATCTGTTGTGTAGAGGAAGGCATGTGTATCGAGAACTCCCGAGTGAACCTGAAGTATGGTGGTCAAGACGTGACCGAAACATTCGTCAAGATGATGCTGCACGATCATTTCCCCTATGCCGATATCAACCTACGGCGTAGACACGACTTCCTTCTAGCCGAAGAGCTTAAGAAGAACATCTGCACCATGAACGAAGCCAGTGTTTCTCCACAAGTCTTTGACTTCCACCTTCGTGTGGCAGGCCAAGACACACGAAAGTATACTTTCAAGGCTTTTGACGAAGTTCACCTTGCGCCAATGGGTGTTTTTGAGCCTGATATTTTCGACAACTCTGACAAAATCACTGGTAGACGGACCTTGATCGATCGTTCGGTTGACATCTACGATGGATCACCTAATGATCCTACTTCTGCGGCCCAGTCAGAGATTTTGACCGCCATGGCCCCTCCCCTGCCGTCTCAAGGCAAGACAAATGGCGAGTCTCACTCGGCGGCGCCGGACGTTCAGGCCACACCAGGCCGCCCACAACATCCTAATGCTTTAAGCAAAGTCCAAGATTTGGAGGGTACACCTCGATCTTCTGTCGCTGGTTCTCCAGGGCCGGAGAACACAGGGACCCCTCAAGCAGGAGGAACAAGCACACCCGCTGCCACGGCCGCTGCAGCTCAGGCTCCGCGTCCACCTGCGGTGGAAGATAGAGATGATATCATGCCTGTGTTCGGTTTGGACAACGCTATCCTGACCTCCATTGCCCACGCGGCTCGCTCAGACGATAAGAAGATGCGGGATTTCATCGGTGGTATCATGGTCGTCGGTGGCGGTAGTTTGACTAGCGGATTCCATCTCTTCCTGGAAGAGCGACTGCAGGCTCTCCGCCCTGGCTTCTCAAAGGAGATCATGATCGGGACACCGCCTAGAGATCTCGATCCCCAGGTCGTTGTGTGGAAGGGAGCCAGCATTTTCGGCAAACTGAGCGGTACAAACGACAGTTGGATCGGAAGACTGGAGTATGATCGACTTGGTCCCCGGCTGATGGCGTACAAGTGCATGTGGGCCTACTGATTGTACTTTAGGCGATTCATTTATGGTATTATGAGAATTCGGCGTGGGAGTTGCATGTTTTTGGTCACTTTCAAAAGGAATTTCAATATTTTTTTCTAATACAATGGAATACCTTGAATACACAGTTGGTATTAGATGAGCCAGAAGGCCAATCCGAAAAGCGTGGGATTAGATGTGAGCTGCTGTCCTCCAAGGCCGAGGTTGGATAAGTGCACGCACTTCTTTGTTTCCAACATTGTCCTTTCCATACTTACCGTCCTTACACGTGATCACCTCTGTATTTCCACGCGTATCCCTCCAACACAATAGATAAGCGGTGAATAAAGGCAGAATAATGGTCCTCAGGCTCAGCTCCGGTGTTGGTCTGTATGACAGCTTTTGCCAATTCCTCCAGCTCCATTCGTGGTCAGTCTGGATAAGACTTTTCTACTGGCGAGCCGACCCACGGAATCTGATATTACTGTCACTTTTCCTCCCTATCGCCGTCCTTGTCTTTATCCAAGCCATTGATTCCCTCACGGTAAGTTTGCGACCAATTCCCTCGCATCCATTCTGAATCGGGCTCTTGTACTAACTGGCTTCTGTATAGTTGCACTGCCATTTTTAGCTGCCAACATTGAGGCGACAATATCCCAGTTCATCCCAGTCTATTCCAGTCTATTACAGTGAGCTTCCGTCCCCCTCAGTCCAGACGTACGCCGAGTTGCTGATGCGCAATTAATCGCCCAGTCAACCAACCGCGCGAGAAAATAAGACGACAGTATGTCTTCCAAATCTAAAGAGGGCCAGTCATCAGGTGGCTTTCACCAGGAGTACATTGCGTCTCTTCGCTATCGCAATGATCTCCCTCCCCGGACATGCCCCCCAAGTTCCTCGATATCCCACACGAGGGCTTGAGTCGCTTCCTCACCCCCGGTTTCGCGTCAAACCTGGCACGCCGTGAGGAACCCAACATTGAAGTCGATGCCGAAGGTGGAATGCCAATTGACCTGGTCGGTATTCCGGGGTTACATTTGGGCGACGAGAGTGGTATGTCAACGCAGAATCTCCTGCAATTGTATGACTGCAACTAACATCTCCACCAGCTATTATGGCACCCGAGAATCCTCAGCCCATGGACCCCGCTGACCTTCCCCTTCTCATGACTATTGAGCAACTCCGAAACCCTGCCCCAAGGAATACCAATGTCAGTTTCCTCCGCCGTACACAGCACATCGGTGTCGACCGTAGTGCCGGAGATGGCTCCCGACCCGCACCTATTAAAACACAATCACGCACTGCGAAGAAAGGAAAGCCTCCTGTGGATGACCCGAAGCATGTTAAGAAGTTCATCCAAAAAGGATTCGATATCGCCTACCCCCAGAGCAAGCACACTGGAGACGACACTGATAGCCACATCCGTGGTCTTCCTGCCACAAAGGCAGAACTCGACGCCTGGGCTAATCCAGTTCACCCTGAAAACCCGAAGCTGAAGCCAGTCGGTTTCTTCCCTGTGATGCCCGACCTGGAAGGGTTCCCAGACCCCGGTGGCTACCTTCAATTCAAGTTTGATAAGGCGCCTTTGGCAGCCGTCGCAGGCAAGAGGGACAAGCGTATGGATGTTGGTATTCTGCAACCAGTTGCGCCCGAGCAGCGCGTTTGCCAGGAGCATGAATCTAAGCTGAATCTTCACCACACGAACCCTGCTCTTTACGCCCACCCTGGCCCAATCCCTTACGATTACCAGCTCTTCCTTCCAGAGAAGCCCCACTCTGTTAAGAACATTGACACAAGCATGAGCCTGTCTAACCCAAACCGCGACAGCGAAGACCTCTACACCAACGAGAGCGCCGACGGCCACAAGTTCCACCGCTATGATCGCGTTCGCACTTACGCCACCAGTGCTCAGGTCTTCAACACTGAGCAAAAGGACATCGCTTTGACGCTCTACAAACCCAAGAATGGCGACAGCAGACAATTGGCCGCTTACTACTATCCAATCTTAGGCAAGGCCCGCCTTAAGCCAGAGCGTGCCCGCACCATTGCTCACGCTGGTCTCGCTCCCACTTCCACCCAACAGGAAGAGACCGAGGAACGGGTTGACCAGATGCATGTGATGATGCGTGACCCCAACGATGCTGAAATCTACAAGCGTGCTTTGACCCGTCTGCGCATCGATCCGAAGTTTGCAAGCAATATGCCACCCGAGCCTGTTGCTCAAGAAGAGGAACACCCATTGGAGAACGAGGAGTCAGAGAAGCCAGCCGATGACGATACTCGCATGAGCGATGACGAGTAGATACTCGCGGCTGTCTATTATGTATTATGGATCTTTTTTTGAACATTACAATCTCGAAGTTTCTGCCTAGGTAGTTTCCCATGGGTCTGGCGTCTGAGCAATGGAAAATGGCGTTACATATAGTCAATCGTTAATCAACGTAGTTATTATGTATACAATTAATCGCCTCATGCATTTGTAGATATAGTTTGTATCATCGAATACAAGAGTCAGAGTCGTCGGCTGCGTATGTGACCTCTGTTCTTAACGAACGACTAATAATTTACCTGGGCCAAGATGATACAAGGGACGTTATGTCTTTTGAATTAATTCTTTTTGGGGGTATTTTTAGAGATCTCTTTTATATAAATTTTCATTTGTGTTATAGCAAAAAGAAGCGTGAATAAGAGCACGGAGTAGACATGCCAGGATGATCACTCGACGTTGATTTTTATACTCAGTCTTGTCGCCCTCTCTTGGTCCGTCATTCTAACTGACTGTTTTCTGGTCTTCTCATTCGCTGAATCCTTTTACCGCTACGAGTATTCTGCCGTCATCTATCAAATTTATCTCCTGTTACTCACAGGTGGTCGAGTGCCTTTCTCTTACGCTTAAACGTAAATGTACTATTACATAGCGTAATCATTGCTCTATACCTACATACGCGAATGAATAGGGATATTTCATTCTTATTACTTATTTTGCTATCATTTTCACTGTTCCCTTCTCTTCTCGCCAACTGGCCTACTCGCCTTACACAGTTACACTTGGTTAGTATATATTTTCAATATAATAAGATAAATAAGAATAGCACTTCTCGATACGTATCGTTGAAATGTCGGACCAGAGCCCGAGTATCCATACCTTGGGATCTCAGGTCATCATCTTCCCTACAAGCACACTGCGGTCACAAGCTCGGTCTTTGCTTCCCTTTCAAACTTCACTCAGTGGTCTTCTCATCTCACTTTCACTTTATCTTTATCTTTACACTGCGCTTGTCTTATCTTTTGCTTCTGCCAAGTCTCCTCTTCGTCGAAGCTGGTGTCTCATGCTATACCGAAGCACTATCATTTGTCTCTCTTCTTCTTCCTCGCAGTTGATAACACACGCTCCTCACAACAGCAACGGTTCGTCTCACAACCCATCTTCACAGAGTGTATGCAAGTCAAGTCTCCTCTTCAACGAAAGCGGTATCCTGTGCTCGACCGAAGTTCCGTCACTTGTTTCTTCTTTCTTGCAGTTAGTAGCACACGCTCGCCACAACCACAACGGTCTGCCTCGACACCCGCATATAGTGGATTCTTTTTATTGATTTCCAAAATGGGGCTGCTGGACCTTCCAGTCAAGCTCATACTTATGATCGAGGAACACCTCCCCACGCAAGCCGATGTCTCTGCCTTGATGAGATGTCATTCCTCTATGCTTGCCATTCTCCAAAAGAGGCTTTACAGCCGAGCAAAGTCGTTCGAGCTTGACTCCAATTTGAGATGGGCATGTGAAAGGGGAAACGAAGGCCTGGCTTCTGCGATGCTTATCATGGGGGCCGATATCCTGCTCAGCGTGAATGACCCTGTGCCATTGAGCATCGTGGCAATCCATGGACACCTCAATATGGTTAAATCTCTCCTCAAGCATGATCCAACAATTATCAACAACACACCATACCCAACAGACGATAAGTGTACCGCGATCGTGGGCGCCACAATCCAGCGGCATACGGATATTGTAAAGTTCCTTCTTGCCCAACCAGACCTTGATCCGCAAAAGCCAAGTTCATATTTCATCTACAAAACAACACATAAATTGGGTGAATATGATACCTTCCATATCCCCATCAACCAAGCTCTTTACGACGGGAATCATGAGCTAGTTCGGATTCTACTGGAAGACACTCGCGTGGAGCTGAGTCCTTTCAGTTTGATTGCTGCTGCCCGAGGGGGCCACGAGGATATGGTCAGGCTGTGTCTACTACAATTTTCGCAAAGGTTTGACCCCAATGAAGAATCCTTGCTTATCATCGCTACCCGAGACAACAACATGGGCTTGGTCAAATTATTATTGGAAGTGGCAAGCCATTCTTCTGAAATGGAGTGGGAAACAGACGGCAAAGCATCTTTCATCGTCAGTGCAGCGAATCAAGAACCCCCAAACCCCGACAAATCGCTTCTCGCAAGAAATAACATCAGCGTCGAAGCCACCGATTATGATGGCAGAAGCCCATTTACTTATGCTGCAAGTTATGGTAATGTGGAGATGATGAAGATACTTCTGGATACCCGGAAATTTGACGTTGACTTGCCAGACGAGTGCGGCCGAACACCATTGTCGCATGCCGCTTCAGTGGAAAAGGAGCCAGTGAAATTCCTCCTCCCATTGGATGATGTTAATCCTGGTTCTAAGGATCACAACGGCCTGACCCCATTTCACCATGCGGCAATGTGTGGTGAAGTGCAAGTCATGGCAGCACTCCTGGATACCGGGAAAGTTGATATTAATTACCCCGATATGCACGGTCAAACACCATATGATATCTTCACTGGATGTTGATTACTTGGGAGATGGAACCTCAAATACCATTGGAAAATTTGACTCATATCAGAGAAAGCTGAAATAAAAATAGTACAAAACAATCATTTCACAGTTGCGAAGCATGGGATTCGAACCTCTTAGTGACGAACTCTGCATTTTGATCCACAAAGAGAGACAGATCTGGCTTCTGCACAATGTCGACGATACCTTGATCGCTGCAGTGGGCGAAAAAGACATTGAGTGGTTCAATCAGGCCATGCCGTTCAAATACAGAGATCTGGGCAAGCCAAAGAGATTCCTCGGGAGCAGATTATCTCGCGGAAAACATGGTATTTTTCTCTGTCAAAAAGCATATAGAAGATATCGTCGTTAAGGCCGTATTGTGAGGGGCAGGCAGAGTTTAGTTCGCTCCTCTCCAATACAACTCTCTCCCTCCTCTCTTTCTGGGCTCTCACGTAGGTTCCGATAATTAATCCTAAGCAACGTCCCGAATTAATAATGGTGGCGGTTGAAGACAATTGCACTTTTCTGTAAGTAGTGGTGTCGTCGCGCTGAGGATGTACTTCTTAGTTGCATTTCCTAGCCTATGCCCTCTAGATGTGACCAGTGGGCCATTTTCCATCTGCAGCGAGTTGGCCCCCTCTTTGATCATAGTAAAAGGCATATAAATCATCTGAAGAATTGGGTCATATTGTTAGATAGCACTTGAGTGGACCGAAGTTATGTGGAATCTCAATTCTTGTTCGATGGGTAGTATTTCCTTTTTTAGCAATGATTGCGAATGGTTTATCCAAAAAGGAGAATATATAGGATAACATGCAAACGAACTTGAGATAAAGAGTGCTAACTACATGTAATAAGCATCTAGCCTTCAATTGTAACTATCTCGTCATGCTTTCTTTAGCCCACTCAAAATTTGTGGTTGCATGCTTGACATGAACTGGTGCATTGGTGTAAACCCCGGATTCTCACATAATGATCGGAGATAATCTCTCTCTTCTTGTAATTTCGGTGGGTAGATTGATTTGAGGTGTCGAGCTGCTACTACTAATGGGAAAGGGACGAGGTGTTGACGAAAGGCACCGGTAGATGGGTGTAGGAATGACGGCACACAGCGTATTATACTGCGACAACAGTTCTCTGGATCAAGACCGAAAGTATCACAATTCCCATCGGAAATGGCGTGACAGACACTGTAGGCGATGATACTCGATGCCCAGTAGATTGTCATTATATGGGTGTCCGCAATTTCATCTGTCGTCATGTTGATAGGGAGCTGCCACTTCGGCCCTATACAGGCCACTGTGATAGCAAACTTTGAGCTCCAGTGGTATAATTTCTCCATAACGGCGAAACCCATTTCCTTGAGGATCAAACGCTGCCTCAACTTTGCTGGAGAGTCTGGCTGAATATTCATGTTGTCAATGCCCTCGTATATCGAGGGGAGTTCCAGGAGAATGTCTACCAATAGGTCTTTGCGTGTTTTTGGGTGATGAATCCAAGGATCAGTCATCCACATTGGCTCACTGAAAACATGCTTCTTTCGTTCCTTGAGTGCAAATTGTGCCTGTTCATAGATCAGCATTGCCTCATATCGTCGAGATACAGTTCAAATACATGGTTGAGTCGCCCATCAACAAACAGTCTATGAGCTGGACCGGTAGCGTAGAATGATGGTGAATTGGAAAGGATCAGCGCAAGATCTCCAGAATGGTGAATCATCCAGTTGCGGGATTGCGCTTCCTGGTTCCGGCAATCACCCCCATAGAGGGCCTGGATAAACTATATTAGCCAGCAGCCAATTTCAAACAAGTTTTGCCTCTCAGTAGCGGAGGTCGAATAAGATCTACCTCGTAGAGACTGAATACTCGTGCAGCACCGAGAAGTTCGAGACCAGGCTTCCTTGGGGAGCTTAGTGCTTTTCGCATCTGCCGTAAGGCACTCACATGCAGATTTGTTCCTTGCTGTCTCATCCAATATTGGCTGCTGACTTTATTTGCCGCAGTCGTGAGTGCCATTGCACCGAGAGCCGTACGTAGGATGCTCTTTTCCAGTAGGATATCTCGAAGTACACTGATGGAGCCACCTAGATCTCGCTGGGTCTGGCTAAAAAGAGAAAAAGAGTGACCATTTGGCATATACGATGTCCAAAAGTTCCCTTCGAGACAAGACTCGTGGGCGGTTTGAGAAAGAGTGACAGAGGTAGCCAGCATAGCCGATAAAGACGGATAGTTCGGACTAGCCTCGATGGGAAGGCGGCTTTGAGTTCCACAAAGACTACCAGAAGAAGGAACTTCTCCCTTATGGCCAGGGTCATAGTAGCGGTATATGGTCAGACCCTCGGCATATCCCTCGCACGGGATGCTAGACTTCCTGCATTGGCCACAAGAGGGCTGTTGTAGATCACACTACTCCCGTGATTAGTCCCATTCTTTCAAGATAGATTGAGTATTGGAATAATTGGATAAATACATGTACTTACGCCCTTTTTGCGTCGGCGGCAGGTACGGCATGCTTTCGAACGCCCCGGCACACCAACCATTGACAACTGGGCTGGACGATGTAGTGGAAGTGCGCACTTGGGTTCCACCAATTATTTTCCTACTAGTGAAGAGGTGATAACAGCAGTCACTATTGTTCACTATGTGTTCTTCTATGTCTTCTGCATGAGTATTGTTGTCAGCCTCGCACGCTTCCAAGTTTCAGCCCTGGAGATAACTTTAAAATGGTGGGGCCGTAACGGACCCCGGCTAAACCCAAAAGGGAGCATCATGTGCAGGCTGCATATCGCGTCCTCTATGTACTACTATTTGTCGACAGCTTCTGGTGAGTGCTAAGGGAAGTTTGGAAATGAATGTGACAAATAGGCATGAGTTTACAACCTTCGTTGAAAGATCGTGAAGGGGTTGGATGGAATATTATTCGAACTGACCCAAACGGTCGCTGCCGATAATTCGATTGCTGTTCGGTGGATAATCCATGGTGTTCTCGGATCAAACTTCTCACTCTTTTGAAGGGGAGCTAAAACTATTCTAGTCTTTTGATCTCGCAAAAATGGCATAGACCATTAAAACTTAAAGCACGGGCTCCCGCCATCTATAACGGAACAGACTTCCTTCTCTAGAACGACCGTACAGGCTAGATTAGGGAAGCCTACATCGTCACATACAGTATCTCATACTTCCATGCGATGGGCTTAGAGGCTGTTACTGGTTAAGAACTTTAGACAAGTTAGGCAGCTCGCATCAAGCTCGTGTTGGGATCGGCAATTGGTAAACTGGGGTTTAGTAACCTGGGATTATCTTAGGTAGTCAATTTATGTAGTGTTTTCAACCATCTGTCTTTTTTCCCTTTATGTTAGTCAAATTATCTCGAGATACAGCTGTCATGATGCGAATTCATTGACTACATGTCCGGAATGGATCAGCCGCTTTCGACTAGACAACTATTGGGCATTTTAGTACCAATCAACGTGTAATTGATTCTACCAAGCATCATAGTCTCGGTAGTTTTTGTTGTTTTCTATCTCCTGGCCAGATTTAAGTAGCTGAAATAGAGCGAGGAAGGCCAACATTGTGTACTGCCGAACGTTTCCTACAGCATATATATAATAGTTGATCAAAGCCCAAAACGATCATGTATGGATTGATTTACAACAGAATTGACAAATAATGATCGCAATATCTTCCGGTTCTCGGGATCTACTTTATAATAAATTGTGGTTAACATTGAGATCCCATCAAATCTGGGGAACTCCCAGTGTGCCAGTGAACAGGGAGCTGATTGGCGCCCGTGGGCCCTGGAGTTTGGCCCTGGTGGCGGCCCTATGGGGGGCACAGCAGGCCCCACGGGCCAGGTCGATGGGACCCCAACGGTCAGTGCCAAGACTTTCGGGGTAACCACATGGGAAGTGGCTGGGCTGTGAGTGGCTCAGATAACATCAGGACAGGCTACTGCAGGAACCCAATTGTCCTTAGAGTTGGATCGGAATAGATTTGCAGTGGATTTACTTTGCTACTTCCGGGTGATCGACTGCAATTCACCACGGATGTACAAGCTACTTCCTTAATGCACGTTGGTATACTTACAGTCCAGGTCTATTGTACTTTCCCTTAACCCCCTCCACTCCCTCTTATCATCTGCAACCACCATGTGTCGCCGTGATAGGATATGGTACACGCGGCGTCTCGTGAAAGGCGCATGTGGTTAATTAGAGTCAATGTGACTTGTATTTGAATCTGTCTTTCACTTCTCTCTTTCTCTCTCTTCGTTCATTGCATTGCTCTTTGCATATTGAACATGGATTGGACGCACATCTACATTGTCGGGGCCGCCGTACTGGTGTTTGCTCTCATCGGCCTGGTTCTTCTCGTCTCCTCTCAGCATATCAAGGTCGCCAACACTGGAGCTGGCCCTTACTTAAAATTCATCTGGGCGAACTTCATCAAACCGCACGATAAGAAGGCTGGGGGCCAACAGGATGCGTTGGAGAGCTTCTACAAGACACAGGTGCGATTAAATGACACACTATTGGATATGACTCCAAGCTGACCAAGTCAGGCCGCAATTTACGATGCCACTCGTCGGCGTCTCCTCTGTGGTCGCGAGGACATGCTTGGTCTTGTAGCTGCACAGCTGAAGTACAAGATTAACAGCAAAGAAGTTAAGGCTGGGAAGGCTGTCTGGGTGGATGTAAGTATTGTGCTCTATCTTTCGGAGCTAGCACGCTAATATATTCCAGATCGGTGGTGGTACTGGGTAGGCACGAGAGGGACCCCAACGTGATACAGATCGAACATCTAACTTGTGACAGATACAACATCGAAGCTATGGCGGCTTTTCTTCCGGTCGATAAATTCTTTAAACACGTTTACCTAGTCGACCTCTCCCCGTCCCTTTGCGAAGTTGCCCGCAAGCGCTTCGAGCGTCTTGGGTGGAAGAACGTTACCGTCCTCTGCCAAGATGCCCGATCTTTCCATCTTCCCGAGAAGGAGTTCGATCCGAGGTCTACAAATGCAGCAAGTGATGGTGTTGACTTGATCACTATGAGCTACAGTCTATCAATGATCCCTGGTGAGTATTTAAGATCTACTCGAGACTATCGATATTGATTCTTTTAGACTATTACAGCGTCGTGGACTCATTAACCTCCCGCTTGAAGTCAACTGGAATGTTGGGTGTGTGTGATTTCTACGGTAAGCAGTGCCTCAAAGTTCTGCATGAATGTCACTCATTCAAATATAGTCCAAAGCATTGTGGATGTATCCTGTCGTAACTACACCGGCGGCGCTTTCAACCGCCATGTCAATTGGCTTGGGCGTGTATTCTGGAGAGCCTGGTTCGACTTTGACCGGGTCAGCCTTGAAGCCGCTCGCCGAGACTATCTGGAATACAAGTTTGGTACTGTCATCTCTGCCAGCGAACGAAACTATTTCCTTGGTGGTATTCCCTACTACATATTTGTTGGTTGCCCAAAGGAAATGGCGTCTACCCCATCAAGCCAATCTATTGAGAGACTAGATGCATCTTTCACCGAGTCTCCTTATCTGCTTCCTGCCAATCACAAGCAGGAGATGGATAACGCAGTGGTGAAAAGCACTCATGAGATTCGATCCAAGGCATATGAGTCTGCAGTGATTAACCTGAGTGCAAACCTACCGCTACCATCATCCTTTTACCAGAATCACCATTATCGCATTCATTACGACGACATGCTACCCAAACATACTCAATTCCAGAACGAGTATATTTACGCGTTCACGTGGGAAGACCCGCGAGTTGATCACCGGCTTCTGAACATTGGTAAAGACGATGTGATTTTAGCCATCACCAGCGCTGGTGACAACATTCTTGACTATCTGCAAAAGAAACCCCGCCGGGTGCACGCAGTGGACTTGAACCCCAACCAGAATCATCTTCTCGAGCTGAAGGTTGCCTGTTATTCAGCATTGGGTCACCGGGATATGTGGAAAATCTTCGGTGATGGCAAGCACGCACAGTTCCGTGAATTGCTAATCTCTAAACTCAGCCCTCACCTGTCCAGCCAGGCTTTCCAGTACTGGCTCGAGCATACCCAGACCTTTACCTCTACCTCTGGTCATGGTCTGTATGAGACTGGTGGATCTCGCCACGCTATTCGTATGGTGCGATGGCTCTTCAATATCTTCGGACTCCAGGGTGAAGTTCGCAAGCTCTGTGAAGCGCAAAGTATTGCAGAGCAGCGTGAAATCTGGCCTCGCATTCGAAGTGTGCTAATGAGTCGACCACTCCACTGGGCTATTGTGAGCACCGAATGGTTCGCATGGAAGGCTGCCGGAGTGCCACGAAACCAGCGAAATATGATCATCGACGACTTCTTCCGCCGCAACGGCTTGACTGAAGATATGAAGAAGGGCAAGGACGTCAGCGGCCAATCGATTTGGGAATATGTTGTCAATACTCTTGACCCTGTGATCAACGATACTCTGATCAGCAACGACAACTACTTCTACTTCCTTTGCGTTCAGGGCAAATTCTCACGGAGGTTCGTTTTTTTCTTCCGTCTTTCAATTACACGTGCTAACCGTGATCATAGATGTCACCCGACCTATCTTTCTCCTCAAGCACACGTCAGACTTTCCACGCCTGGTGCATTTGATGGCCTTCGTATCCACACCGATGAGATCAACGAAGTGATCAACCGCATCACCCCGGGAACATTGACTATCGCCGTGGTAAGTATCAAAATTCCATTTCAGCCGTATTTCTTATGCTAAATTTCCATCAGGTCATGGACTCCATGGACTGGTTCGATCCCGCAGAGGACTCAGCCCCTGCCCAAGCCCGAACTTTCAACAAAGCCTTGAAGAAGGGTGGTCGCATCCTTCTCCGTTCCGCCAGTATCAATCCTTGGTACATCAAGCACTTTGAAGAAAACGGCTTCTCTGCTCGTCGCGTGGGAGCTCGTTTCCCAGGTACATGTATTGACCGGTAAGTTTTGGAATTATGTTCTTGATTACGGACAAAAGCTTATACATATGTTCTAGGGTGAACATGTACGCATCGACCTGGATCTGTACTAAAACAGAGGACTTATCCCGCCCCAGTTCCGACCGCAAAATCTCAGCGCTCTCATTGGGGGACAGTGCTATTCCAGCAGGCAAGATGTCGAGCAGCGTGGAGAATCTTTTGATTTAAGTATGGTGATAGCTGCTTTTTTCCCTTGACGTGGTCCTTTCAAGTTACGCTGCACGTGCCTCAATACCTGTTAATGATACCTATGATCTGGAGTTAGATGGAGTGTTTCGTATGCTTGCCTTCAAAAGTGCAGGGGGTCAGGAGTATGGTCCGAAATATGCGGAATCAGGATGACTGCCAACAGCTTGTCCTAATAGCACCTATCATTTTTATTTTGAGGGATCAAGATAAATTCTAACAATCTTTCAAAAACAAATTCTAGAGTTCAGGAGCCAATCCTCAGTTGGGACTCAAAAGAGCCGACGAAGTCTGTTCGTGCGCAAAGAAAACACAACTAGTCTGTGCTAACAAGAATACAAGAATATAGCAAGGAAAGGACATAAAAGAGAAATAGTCCTGAACTGTCAAATAGGGAGTGTCCGAAGAGCAAGCCACGGACCTATCGATGCTTAAGTAGATATAACTGGGGCGAAACTTGCATAAAAAATCCAATCGCCTTACTCCGTACGTATGTGATCGAGTCGGATCGACTAACTAGATAATACATTCTACCACGCATATATGCATCAATATAGCGAAACTCATAGCAGCGTAGCAACCAATGATAACGCCGCGAAAAGCAATGAAAGTCGATTATCGCATAACTAGACAATTGATAGATTTCCAGTATAATAGAATGAAGACGGGTTGAACAAGATCTTTGGTACTGTTTGTTCTGGCGTACAGCCTACAACGTTGCAGATCCCCATCATCTCCCTATAAAAGGTTATATAGCGGCCGATCGCCCCAGCGCTGATTTGAGCACATTTGCGCAAGTGCATATGGTTCAATATTTACTCAATGAATAGATCCAATATTCCCTCCGTTTTAGGGTCCCAATAAACGACACAATTGTTTTGGACCCAGCCGTATTCGAACCAGCAAATCAGGAACATGCCATTCGACTCCCAAGGTGATAAATGGTCTTGGTGAGCTTCCTCTTGTCTTGGATCTATACCAGATTGTAGAGAAATATACTTACAGATCCTACAAAGTGAATCCTGTATTCGAGGCCACCGCTCGTCCAAATGCGCACACTATGATCGCCCAATGAAGAGAGTTCCCAAGGCTGGACGTCCGTTGACAAAGTGTGCGCACCTCAACGAGATGGATTGCAGTTGCCGGGAGGTTTGGGCAATTATGGTTCCGCTTGCTCCAGGTACGTTATGTCAGAGGAATGAACTTGGTACTGTGGATTGGACATATATTTGTAGTAACATTTGTCGTTTCGAATAGGGTCGACGGTCTGCAGACCTGAGTTCAGAACTCAGCCGGTACAGCAGCAATACATCGATCATGTTTATACTGAGGGTAGATGATTGTTTGGGTTATATCGATGAGCATGTTTGTTTTATAAGGAGTTAGGTGAATAAAATATGGATGGGATTATCATGTCCATATAGAAAGCCCTAGTAGCCCCTCTCAACCAACACCTAGGCAGCTTATCAAGCCACCTCTGCGGAACACCACGCAGGATTGCACAGCGCGAGATAAACAGAGCCCAGCCGGGATTCAGCAGCAATCGAAACTCCAATCAGCCACCATGACAAGTCCCTTCCTGCCAGCCAGAAGTCCCCTGAGAAAATCTCCCAAGAAGTAGTTCGCCAACCAGGACGCCAAAAAGCACAGTAACGAAGACGCCGACGTTGAAGGTCATCACGGATAGCATCCTATCGATTTCAATAATTAGTCGATAATTACTATGCAGATACTCGCAGATGTAACCCACAAGAAATATCCAATCAAAGCCCTAACACACTCAAGCAACCCACGTGTCCCATCTTTCCGAAGACTCCACGTTCCACTCGCCTTCCACGACGGGAGCAGGCATTTTAGTGAAGTCCTATTTCGAGGGTCATCTCTTTTGAGATTTCCTGACGTGCTTCGTGTTTCAGTGTCGTTATTTGAGATTGGCAAACTCTCTTCCTCGGGGTCGTTCTCGTGCACGCGTATGTAGTCCGGAAGAGGACTGAGCTTTGCTTTTCGGATGTTGTGTCGTCGATTCACTGGAGCGAGAAGCAGTGTTTGAGGGGTAGAGGGATGCTGAGACCATGATTTCTCGAGTTGGAATTTGAGAGCACCGAGGAAGCGGTTGAAGATGGCGAGGAGGAATAGAAATACTAACGTGAAGACATATTGCGTCGTAGTTGAGGTTGTCCAGCCCGTGAAGAGGATTGTGATTTGAGTGGAGGTTGAGAACACTGCGGGCATGGCCATGTCCATCGTCGTGCTAAGGCGCTCACTTAAGCATGAGTGCGAGTCAGAGTCTAAGGTCGAGTCCACGATGTAGTATCACTCCATGTTGGGAATGGTCTGGAGTGGGAGGCCCGTAGGCAGCAGGTGAGAGGAGAAGATTGTATAGTCTTAGGGTTTTACAAAGACAAGAATAGTTGGCATGCGGCCTTGTGATGTCTCTTTTCGGTGGGGTTTTCAGGGGTCTTCTCAGTGGTCTTTTCAGATACTTTGTTTAGATGTCTTTGAGATATTTTCTCCGCGTTCTCGGTTTTATAGGTAGGTAGATAGCAGAAAGATAGCAGAAAGAGGACTTTTCAATGTCTAGCCTGGAATGAATAAGGTGTTGGGTTCATCTAATGTAAGCTCAAAGGTTCTCAAATAGGATCACACGAGCGCAAATCTGCTCACCTGCATATGAAATGTCTCAAACTATAGGACCTTCCCATTTGGGGAACTATAAAAAGAAGAAACAGTAAAAAGAAGTCTTGTCTTTGCTTTTCAAAAAAATAATATATTGCAAGTCAGTTCATTCATTGACTTCAGGTCTAATCATATTTCACAGGTGAAGAAGACTGGAACACGCCAAAACAGCGGCCCTCTAAGCAAACAGTGATTAAAAAAAGAGTCTGGGGAAAATTCATAAATGGACCATGAGCCCAGCGCTATCACCTCTTATCATATCATATCTGTTGCTCACCAAGCCATAGTGCGCATACCGACACAAGACATGCACATGCGAACGATCGTGGATATAGAGTCAGAGACAGAAAAGAAGTTCAGAAATAGAAGAACTCATGAACGGCCGTACCGCGTCTTTCCAAAGGAGAACGGCACGTAGCGGTACTTGATCATGTGCTGGATTTGTCGTCGCACTGCAAAAGAAAGATTGAGTTAGACAGATGCCAAAAAAATAATACGGATATCGTATTAAATCACGAGCAGAAAAGGGAAACATACTCGTCAACACAAAGAGAATAATCCAGTAAACAACCAGGACCGGCCAGAAGACGGGGATATCGAAAACAGCGAGCCAAGAGCAAACGAAGCCGATGGCGATGGCGCGAGTGGCCGAGTGCCAGAACTTGAACTCTGGGAGACGGCGGATGAAGGGCCGGAACTCCTCATCCTTCTTGGTAGGGAGGCTGGGGGAGCCTGCGTCACCGTCCTCGAGACCCTCGTCCTGGGTGAGAGAGGGGTCGAACTTGGGAGTCAGGAAAGCGAGGAAGAGGTTCAGGAGATAGATTCCGAGTGTATAGGCGACTGCGATTTGAGATTCCATAGTTAGCGGTTTGTTTATGCAGCGGTTTGGATGAATGGCTTTTGCGTATTGCGGTTGAGGCGCATCATTTTCGCTTTGCTTATTCCATTTTCAGGGGTTCCACCGAGTCTTACCGATATACCAGCCCTGCGCAAGGAAGATGCGCAGGAAGAAGAGGAGCAGGAGCACACCGGAACCAACCCAGCGGTAGGTTGTGTACGGGGTCGAGGCATCGAGGTAGGCTTGATAGTGCTGCGATTGACGTATTAGCATATTGATCAGACTACACCGACTGATTTGAGGAATGGAGAATCCAAAGACATTGCGCAATGGGTTTGCCCCTCATGAGACACTCACTCGGGTCAGTCTAGAGGTGTGCGCGGACACGGCTGTGAAGGGCGACTGATCGGGCTCAGGGACATCCATAATGAAGATATTAGGGAGGATGGACGGAGCACAGGGCTAGACCACCGAAAGAAAGAAAGGAAAGAGGTGAAGCAAAGGAAAGCAGTGATTAAGATAAGCTGCTGAAACCAGACATTCCAGGACAGGCACTGCGCCTTCAGGACAGAAAAGTGTCCACAGCCGACAAGCCAATCAGATTAGAGATTAGTCACCAGCCACTTATAGGCACGTGATGGTGGCACATCAAATATGTGGCAGTACGGTAGAGACTAAAAGGGTTTAGTCACTTCACGTGTACCTCGGGACGGTTAACTTCGGCGTCTCGGTCTCGCGGGGAAACGGCCATCTATGATGTTACCGCGTAGCTACTCTCTCTCTCCTTGCTCTGCATAATTCAATCTCAATTATCTGAACAAAAGTAATTGTATTTATCTTCACATATCACAATGTTTGCCCGTCAATGCACTCGTCTGGCCACTTCTCGGACATCGGCCCCCTTGACTTCCTACCTAGCCCGAGTCCGGGGCTATTCTTCAGCTGCTGGTAGCTACGAGCACATCCTCACTTCGACCCCCAAGCCCGGCGTGGGATTGAGTATGTAACATTAGTCAATATATTGCTGGACCACTTCTCATTGCTATTATAGTTACCCTTAACCGCCCAAAGGCCCTCAACGCACTATGCACTCCCTTGTTCAAGGAGCTCAATGAAGCCCTGACCAACTACGACAATGACAAGAGCATCGGCGCAATCATTATCACAGGAAGCGAGAAGGCCTTTGCTGGTATGTACATGTTCTATTTACACTTTTCACACCCATATCCTTTCCCTCCATCTCCTCACCCTACTCCCAATATACATCAACAATATAATAACCTAACAAACCCACCACAGCCGGCGCCGACATCAAAGAAATGGCCCCTCTAAGCTTCTCAGCCGCCTACAGCGACAATTTCATCGCGCCCTGGTCCCACCTCGCCACCTCCATCCGCACCCCAGTCATCGCCGCAGTCTCCGGCTACGCCCTCGGCGGCGGCTGCGAACTAGCTCTGATGTGCGACATCCTGTACTGCACCGAGACCGCCACCTTCGGCCAGCCAGAGATCAAGCTCGGCACGATCCCCGGCGCAGGCGGATCTCAGCGCCTGACCCGTGCGGTCGGCAAGAGCAAGGCCATGGAGCTTATCCTCACTGGAAAGAACTTCAGCGGCAAGGAGGCTGGTGAGTGGGGTGTTGCGGCGAAGGTTGTGCCGGGTGGTAAGGAGGAATTGCTTGAACAGGCGTATAAGACTGCCGAGACTATTGCCAGCTACAGTCGTGTGGCTGTTGTTGCTGGTAAGGAGGTTGTTAATAAGAGTCAAGAGTTGTCACTCAAGGAGGGTGTTGAATATGAGAGACGGTTGTTCCATGCGCTCTTTGGAAGCAAGGATCAGAAAATTGGTGAGTTGGCATTTCGGTCTAGTGTGTGGGTAGGGTATAAATTAGGAATTGCTAACGATTGTTTTAGGTATGACTGCCTTTGCGGAAAAGAAGAAGGCTGAGTGGTCACATGAATAGATGATGGATGGAATAAGCTCATTTGGAATGAAGAAGCTGGCTTTTTTCATCGCCTGCGTGTAATTCACGATGCTGGAGCTGTAGAATAGAGAACTCGTTCATAGGACATAGAGCAGTATCATCTAACTCATCTCCGCCTATGATTCTCGTCTGCAGCCTCATCCTTATCCATGTCCATCCCAGCATTGCCGGTTGGTTAAACGCCAGGAAATAGGGTTTTCAGAGGATCAAAAGAGAAGAGGAGATATGAAAAAAATCAGAGTGTTCTTCATCAAGCAGTGTGTGGCTTCATGTGAAGATATTAGATTAATGCTATTTGCTGAAAAATACTATATACATCCAAGAGTGTCTAACAATCTAGGGCCAAGAAGCAGAATTAGTCGTAAACATAAGACACATCGCATCATATCAAGCCATTATTTTTCTCCAACTGGCTGTCATCAGTTCGGTTGTTCTTCTCCGCCCGGTAATCATCAATGACACGGCCCTCGATGGTTTCATCGAACACGTCCACCTGGGTCGTCGCAAACTTGCGTGCGCTGGTACCCCGCTCGAAGAGCAAGTCAAGCTCAGCGAACGAGCGACCGCGAGGCTCGGGGACGCGGAAGTATGTGTAAATGATGCACAGGAAGCAGATGCCACCCCAGAAGAAACCGGCGTAGTTGCCCCAGTTCCAAGCGCCGGGGTTCAGCATATAAGGGGTCAGAACGCCACAGATGATGGCGACAAGGTTGTACAGGTTGCGGCCGAGCACGACTGTCTTGATTTGCAGTCGGCGGGTGGAGAGCTCGGCGACCAGGGAGAAGCAGACCGTGCCAACGGTCAGCTGGTAGAATAGGGCCCAGATCAACATCATGGAACCCGTAGCTAGGGAGGCTTGGTCTTTGTGACTTTTAGGAACGAGGCCGAGGAAACCCATGATCAAAAGCATGGTACACAGACCACAGAGACCGTACAGATACAACGTCCGCCGGCCAATTCCAAGTGTCATAAGGAACCAGGATCCGAAAACGCCGACCATGTTGATGCCGTATTGACCCATAGCGAAGGCGTAAGAGTTAGAGGAGCTCAACCCAGCCTGTTCCAAAAAGTAGGTCGAGTAGTTGGAGAAGGAGTTTCCACTAAGATTTTGAATGGCCCAGACCATACACACAATCTCCGTGCGGCGGAGATCGGTACCCCGGAAGCAGTCTAGGTAGCTAGCACCTTTGGTTATTTTTTCCTCCAGGGCGGTAGTGTGAACCATCATGGCGACTGTCTCATCGGGATCGAAATCTCCCTGATTTTGGCTGGTCAACCGCACAAGGGCCCGTTTCGCATCTTCAGTGCGGCCTTTCCGAACCAGCCACCATGGGGATTCGGGCGCAAGCCAAATACCAATAAAGAGCGGCAGAGGCCACATCCATTGCAGCCCGTATGGAATCCGGTAGGCCCATTCGTCAGTCCGACTCAACATGCCCTTAATCACACCGATGCCAATAAGCTGGCCAAGACCCCAGCAGAAATTGACATAGGTTGTCAAATACCCTCGAAGCGCCACAGGACACACCTCCGAGGCGTAGGTAATTGTCAAAGTCTGGAAGACACCCCAGGGGACACCGCAGAGAATCTCCGCAGCGAGCAGAGCTTGCACATTTTGGGCCGTGAAGAAGATCGACGTCCACGCACTAACAAGTATGAGGCAGGCCATGATCGTATACCGATAACCGAAGCGTTCCGAGGCCCAACCGTTGATAAATAGACCGATGATTTCGCCGCAGTAGGCACCGTTGCTTAGACCTGCTTGCCACTGTACATCCAGAGGATTGTCAGTTTCTTCACTTAAAGTGGCAAATCCACCTCCAAAAGATAGAGGGATGGCCGCTGGAATTGATTGAACTTACCGCTGCCGATACTTCATATTTGCCATTGGGCAACATCTCACCATACTTGCGCTTGAATTGGGGGAAGGCATAGAAGTTGTTGACCAAACTAATGTCGTAACCCTCCATGGCAATGCAAGTGGAGATGAGCACGCTCCAAAGGACGGCCTTGGGGTACAGTCGGATGCCCTCCATCAATGTCATAGACTGCTCCTTCTCTGTGGCTGCCTTTGCATTTCGAATGACTTTGGTCATGGAGGAGTCTGAGGCCGGTCCTGCGGCCGAAGAGTAACTATATTCGGGGAGGCCATCCACCGGCGTGATGGAATCTGAGGCCTTGGGTTCGGCCATGTTGGATAGGCAGAATAACCGAAGACAGGAGGTAATGTGGTTGGGATGAAATCTCAGAACAACTTTCGATATGGGTTTGAGAGTTGGGCCTGGTTCGGATGTCAGGGGAAAAAAATCAAAGTACCCACAATGCTGAAAACATTGCACGAGAGCACGGCGAAAAGTCCCTTTAACGCCTCCCGAGTGCAAATGAATCCGGCAAGAGCGACGGGCTAGACAGAATAAGGATAAAAGCCCACGAGCCGACTTGGCGGGGAAATGGGGGATTTGGCTCGATGCCCTCCAAGCGCAAATTTTCGCGGGATGGCAGGCTTGGCGATGTCCGGATGAGGCAAATGATGGGTCAGCCTTCTGATGTATTATTTGATATATTATCAGTTCTAGCTACTCTGTATGCTGGTATATTTGAAAAAAAATATATATATATATATATACACGATTTAGTATATAAGTTGTATAGAGTGTCTCATAACCACGTGTGAGATTAATTCTCCGGGACCCTTGCAGCAAGAATGTACTTACTATATACTTGAAATTAGGGTTGATTTTATATTATATCCTTATTGGTTTTCATTTGCATTGCAAATGAGCAAATGAACTACATATGTTAGGTATGTACCTAGATATATTCCTAGGTATATTCCTTTTGCATCCTAAGGTTAAGCTTTCTTCTACTCCCATGCATAAACTTTCAGCTATCCAATAGGAAGAAGCAATTATAAGTATAAATGCAAAGGCCAGAAACTTGACTAAACCCAGTATATTACATTTTGTGCCCTTTTTGTAGGCTTCAAAATTCCATCGCTGATCTACTATATAAACCCGACAGAACAAATTACCTTGGATACTAAATTTAATCCAACATTGGTCCTAAAATGTTAAATACAGATGCTCGCCACTTGCCCTTTGACGTATTTGTTTCTTTAATCAACAATGTTATTCGAACTACAGGGTTTAGTTCGAGCATGTCCATATTTTTTACTATAGAATTCTTTCACGCATCTTCTTTGATCGTGTTCCAATTAATTATGACTTCTTTAGACAATGGGTATTAATCGAATTTGTCTTTCAAAGGCTGCTTTGTGCTGCTTTGTCTCTTTTGCAACTCGATTAATTATAGTATATTCACCTCTTTCAAGCGTTGCTCATCACTATAGTAACACATTTTCTTACAATTCTATGCTTTCATTGACTACTAGCCTCTAAGATCTACTAATGTATAAGATACAATGTCTTCCTCGCAGAATACACTCAACATTTCAATATCAATAACAAGCTTAATAGCAACCAATTTAACACAGCAGCCGACTCGCCAACATCAGCCAATTCGTCGATAATAGTAAGTAAGTGCGATAATAGTCCCTACAGTTGAATGACACCAAGATCTAACCATACATACAGAAATGTCCCGCACTCTTCGTTCGGGGAATGCCTACAATGATTTCCCTACCGCTCCTCCGCGCCCTGCTCGTACTGCACCCCCTAATGTAACCAACAACCGGGACTACACCGTAAATAGCAGGCAAATCCCTGCGGGCCTCTTACGCAAAAAGGTTGCTGAGTGCCAGCTCGAGTTTCTAGATGTCGGCCCAGTAGATCCAGAAGATCCTACCGACACAAATCGAGATAACCATACCATCCTTCGACTCACGTTCTTACATCGGTTGAAGGAAGATGATACCCCATACGCACCTATTGGCACCAGGGGAGTTATCCTAGACTTGGAAGGCTTTCAGGGACTGAACGGCACAAATAGGTCTATACTAATGATGTCTACTTTCGGATACCAAGGCCCGCATCAGACAGCCCTCCACTGGAAAAGCATACCAATGGGCCGCAATAAGACAGTTGGGGATTGTGTTAAGATCATTCGAGACACCACTTTGCTCCCTTGTCACCTTGATGCCAGAAATTCCACCTTGGTTGGCTGTAGAGATTTTACGTGAGTTTTTCTTTCTCGAATATGCTTTGGGACATATGCTAATCTACTGATAGGTCGCAAATGATTTATCAATTGAATCTGTGGGGGTTTTTGAGAATTCCGGCTAATGCTCACGATTCTATATACACCCTTTTCAACTACAGATATAATCTCCCTCTCCCCTCTGCCATTATGAACCTTAACGTTACCCCCAGTACTGTGGACTATGCTCTCTTTAGACTGACATACCCGCATATAGTCATTACCGGTATCACTTATACTGGCGGAATACGTAAGTTGCCCACATATTTCCCCTTTATGGAATTGAATGCTAACGATTGATAGGTCAATTCCTTCCCTAAAAGAAGAATGTTACTTCCAAGGTCAGTCGATTAATGTTCGAAGTGTTCCTATTTACAGATACCGCGTTCCTGTCATTCGTTGTCTTTTCATTTAGAGAATATATTCACGTCAAAGTTCATAAACTGGAAGCCCCCTTTTGCAAGTTTGGGGCTATTCCAATGCCCGAAAAGGATATATTAACATTTTCAACTACGACTTTACGAAGCACTCAGTTAGTTCCTATATTGGAAATTCCAAGATGATACCAAATAATTCGTAAATCGTATTCAAGTTGCTCAGATATCTATGCAGTGATGTGGAATGAATCCACGATTATTTCGAGTATGAGAACACAATCAAGAAAAAGCACATCTATAGACGTGCTGGAGGGGCACCAGTAACGTGAGCCTCCGTAGCAGATTGGATGCGAGCACCAAGATCCGGATTAACACGACGGAACATCTCGTAAGTAGCCCTGCGAACACGCTCATCGGCGCCGCACAGGTGACCAGAGATGTTACCGACGAAGTTCTCCTGCTGGCCGGGGGTACGACCAAGGACCTGCCACAGGCCGTTAGCCTGGACGTAGTCCTCGGAAGTCACAGGGTACTGCTCGGCGATAACAGCGCCGGACCACTTCTCGTGTTCCTGGCTAGCCTTGACGGGCTTGTGGGCGAGCGGGCGGAAGGTAGATGGGTAGTTAGGGTTGGCGCCGTAGTTGCCGTTAACGTTCATGTAGCCATCGCGGTGCGAGGGGTTGAAGGCTTTGAGCGGGCAGTTGACGGGGATCTGCTCGTAGTTGCCGCCCAGGCGGTGGCGGTGGGTGTCCGGGTAGGAGAAGAGGCGGGACTGGAGGACAGGGTCGGCGGAGGGTTCGGCACCGGGGACCATGTGGGAGGGGGAGAAGGCGGCTTGTTCGATCTCGGCGAAGTAGTTCTCCGGGTTCTTGTTTAGGGTGAAACGGCCGAAGCGGCGCAGAGGCACTTCGTTCTGGGGCCAGACTTTGGTCAGGTCGAAGACGTTCCAGCGGAACTTCTCGGCCTGCTCAGGGCTCAGGACTTGCACGTAGCAAGTCCAGGAGGGGTTCTCGCCGCGTTGGATGGCCTCGAACAGGTCCTGGGTGTGCCAGTCGGGGTTCTCGGCGGACAGCTTGGCTGCCTCATCGTTGGTGAAGGTCTTGTTGCCCTGGTCAGTCTTGCAGTGGATCTGGACGTAGTTGAAGGTGCCGTCTGGTTTGATCCACTTGTAGGTGTGACCGGAGTAGCCGTTCATGTGACGGTATGAGAATGGGGTACCGCGATCACTGAAGAGGTGCATCACCTGGTGGACGGCCTCGTGGTGGGTGGAGAGGTAATCCCAGAACATGGTGGCGTCCTTAAGGTTGGTCTGCGGGTTGCGCTTCTGGGTGTGGATGAAGACGGGGAACTTAGCAGGGTCGCGCAGGAAGAAAACGGGGGTGTTGTTGAACACCCAATCCCAGTTGCCCTCCTCGGTGTAGAACTTCATGGCGAATCCGCGGGGATCACGGGCACTATCCGGGGACCCCTTCTCACCACCAACGGTCGAGAAGCGGGTGAGCATCTTGGTCTTCTTGCCGACACCCTTGAGCATATCAACGATGGTCTATGCGTTATTAGCCTAGTGTTCTCTGCGGAATAACAGAAGCTTCCCAGGTACATACGATATCGCTAATATCATCTGTGACCTCAAACTCGCCGTAGGCGCCAGCACCCTTGGCGTGAACCACGCGCTCAGGAATACGCTCACGGTCGAAGTGTGCCAGCAGATCGATCAGGTGGAAATCCTGCATCAGCAGAGGGCCGTTGGGACCAATGCGCTGAGCAGCCTGGGGGTCCATGACCTATATGCATATGGTTAGACCTTGCGATTCCGGAGAAAGTGAGCTGGGCGTACTGGGCAGCCGTTGGAGGCCGTGTAGACCGGAGTCTCATTGTAGCGGTAAGTTTCTGCGAAAGAGAGGGCATTAGTTGGCGTGTTCTCGGGCTTGGTGGTAAAATTATATAACCTACTAGGCTCGTTATCTTGACCCATGATGGCAGAGGTTGTCTATGGAGAAGAAAGAAAAACCCCGGGAGTCCTCCGTTTATATAAGGAAGAAAAAGGATGTGGAGAGCCATGGAAAAGTCCAAAGCCCATGGCCCCACAAGATTTTGATATGGAAATCGTCCACTTGTTTATTGGTCCACAATTATCTCTCGATATCAACTATATCATACAATATATAATATATGAATATCTACAATGGCTTCTAACGTGTGCATGCATGACACCCAATCGCATCCGAGCCGATGTAATCCCTGTCGGGTCCACTCCCCGGGATCAAAGCATCGGGACAATCGCTTTGTAAATGGACTGCGGCTAGACCAAAGAGACATTCCGGGGAGGTCAAGTCATTCTCCCAGTTTAGCCTATACCAATTTAGCAGTTCGATCCGAAGGTCACCTGGCCAACTTCTATCGGCACGATCCGAGATCGGCAAGCGGCAGCCGACCCCGGAGATGAAGTTTTATATCCCAACAAATTCATTGAAAGAATCTAATTGTATGATAGCGATGCAAAACCTCCAAAGGTCAGTCCTTCCAAGGTGTTCAGTGCTTCCGCAAAAAAACCTCGAATAGTGCTTCCCTTGGAATTGGTACAAGTAATAATCAAAAAGCTCTCGAGTGCTCACAGAGAGCCATGAAAAACAAAAAAAAAAAAAAAAACAAATGCTCGCTCAATGCGCTCAATGCGCCAATAGTATATCTTGTATATCGCACGGAAAGGAAAACCCAAAGCAAACTGAGATCGGAACAAATCTTAAAAGTGGGTGGGTATATCTAGCGCTTGCGGCTTCTCAAGAGCCGACAGATCAGTTAAAATAAAGGGGCACCAAGAGTATGCTGCAAGTGCATGTATGGGAGAGAATGGAGTTTAGCTGGTTGGAGTGGGCGCCGATGTGATCGCAGGCGTGTTAGTGGACTCATCCCAACATCCCCACACCCTTCCCGGGCTATTACAGGTCGCAGAAGTGGGTGAGGCAGAGTCGGCCGTAGTCGTGGCTACCGTGCTCGTTTCGTCACGACAGCCGAACCATCCTGGGTCATGACAGCTGGTCGTCGGAGTCGCCGTGGGTAAAGTGGTAGTCACTGTGGGTGCTGGAGTGGCTGTTGTGGTAGGATCATTGCACCCGAACCAACCAGGAGTCATGCATGTCGTAGTAGTGGCAGTGCTTGTCTGTGAAACAGTAGTGGTAGTGGTAGCGGTAGCGGTTGTGCTGTCATCCAGACAGCCCCACCATCCGGGAGTCTTGCACGTAGAAGTTCTGGTGGGAGACGTGGTAGTGCTGGTAGTGGTAGTAGTTGTGGCCTCAGAACCGTTGCTTCGGAAGAACTTCCAGAGGTCACAGTCGAAGCATTCTTCTTCTGCGACACATGAGGGGACACTGTCGTATTTCAAAATAACGTCTGATATCACATTCTCAATCTTGTGGGTACCAAGGCCGACACGCCAGCCCTTGTCTGCCACGGTGTCATATGTGCACACTTTTCCGGTGTGGCATGCTGACTCCATCGCATAGCCACCCCATGTACAGATAGAGTTGATTCCATTGCAGGTTCCCATATAGATTGGGTCTGCTGTATGTCCAAAGTGGTAGGCTCCAGTGAACTGTCGCGACTGTGGAAGTCGGGAGTCATGCCCTGGCGGACTTGGGAGGCCAAGTCGAGCTGCGGGTAATGCTTCTGGAACAGCCTCAAAAGTGACCACAGGCAACCCGAACGTCAGTCCAACCAGACTCGTCATTGCACCACCCAGCGAATGACCGGTCATCCAAATATTCGCATCCGGATACATTTCGGTAACGTTAGAGTATAGGTCGATCGCTGCCTGGTAATACCGGTTTTCGTCAGTCATAGACTCGACAATGCATGTCAGATTTGCTGTGAATGTAGCACTCTGGCAATCGCAGGATTGTCTCCATAAATATGAGCCTCCTTGGCCGCAGCAACAACTGAAGTATAGATTATCGTTCACTTTATCGTTTGTTGTGGTACCGGCGCCATCAAAAAGAGCAGGTGAAGTGCCCTTCAGGGAAATTACCACAGTGTCGTTTGTCTTATCAGAGTAGATGTGCCCTCTCAATCCATCCTTTTGCCAACCAAAGCTCCCCGAATAGTTGAACTGGCCATGAATGGTGTGCCACTCTCCTGTTCCAGGCTCCTGAATATAGTCATTTGCAGTCATTTGTGCAAATGTCAGGACGGTCTGCTTGTCTGTAATATTCGGTCCAGGCAAGGTATCCATGACCCAATCGAGGGGAGACAACGCGGCCGCAAAGCCGGAAGACCGCGCAGCTGCCAAGTGACCTTGAATCACCGGGAGTCGTCGGTCGGCCAACCGTTGTATTTTCAGAGGACTAGATGAGGCAAGCAAAAGGTTTTCCGATGCAATATATTGTACTTCATGGCCATCTTCGGATACAGCTCGAAGGCGAGTGTCTGGCTTGACGTCGAGCCTTGCATGAAGGTCGGGTTGTTCATATGTACCTCGGTGGAAGATATGGCGCAGGGACTGGTAATGGTTATTACAAATCAGCTAGGGTGGTACAGCTTGCGTAGGGCGTCTTACAAACTCATGTGTGTCTGGTGTAGCTTTAGCCCCATTCAAAGGTATCTGGGGCTGGATGATGGGAACTTGTTGAAAGGGTGGATAATAGCCTGAGGCGGAGGCAGCATCTGATAATACTGCAGCCGATATTAATAGGCTATGGACGCTGAGTTTAAAGTATGAACGTTTCCGAGGCATGATGTGGGTGATGATGAGGATCAAGATCAAGGAGACGAGAGTCTATCGCGGCTATCGGGGAGTCACTTGATAAGGTGACGCAGTGCGGAGAGCGATCGGCACGTGATGAGTGCCCCCGTGACGTGACAGGATATCTCAATCAATTCCTCAATTTGGTGTATTCTGAAGCGATCATCAGGAGAGTAATGAGCTGCTACTGATCAGCTGCAGTTTACTCCCTGTTTGGTACGGAGTACTTCCGATTCGACTTCTGGACAACAGGCTCAGGCTAGAACTCTAGAACTAGGGGGGTCTGAGACGCGGATCGGCACAGGCCTATCAGCTGCACCTGGGAGCGGAGACGCGCAATTAGTGCCTTATAGGACCCCATCGCCCCTGGCCCTAAAATGTCTGGCCCCTCTGAAAATAGCACTCAGCCTCATTTGCATTCAGCACGGTCATTCAGCAGAATGGACGGCTCAGACGTGAAATCTCCCACGATTGAGCAAGACTCCAAAGCAGCAACTCTGTCCTCACCTCTCAGTATCGAGGGGCAGGAAAATGGACCCGACGTATTTGAAAGACCCAGCTCCGCAGACTCTGGCACTGCAGGCGATGCGCAGACAGATGATGGCTTTGTGCTCTCGCGAAGCGTACAAGATCCTTCGGAGGAGCTACCGATCGAACTAATCAGCCTGGCAGATCGGTAAGTGTGTTCATATTGGTGCCCATGGCCCAACACTTTATTCTAACAGCTATCTCCCCAATAGTTTCGTGAATTCACTGAGCGCCAGAGTACATAACTCGCCTCCCACGATCGAGAAGATCTCCGAGCTCTTCCAAGTTTTCTACAGCCGCGCCGAGTCCCACATTGCCACACATATATCTGCCCTGATAACTCGTATTAACCGGGATCTTTCGCCTCAGATTCCTGCGAAAGCTCCACGGGGAAGCGCACTGTCGAAACTGAGCAGCAAACGCTCTCAAGATGATGTCAGGCAAGGGGCTTCAGGTCGCCAAATGTTGACCGCGTCCGAAGTAGCTGAAAGGAGAAAGGCTCGTAGAGCCCTTGAAAACAAGCGGAGTGCGTTAGAAGAGGCTGCCGAACGGAGAGTCTGCGAGCTGGTTTATGATAAACTCTGGAGGCACAAAAGTACATTGGATGATGTGCGAGACGAAAAGTTGCGTTCCAAAACTGCGGCTTTGCTGCTGGTCGGCATTAATCTGAAGGACCTTGGGATCGATATAGACCTCGAATCGATCGATGAGCAGAAACAGGACGAGGCGAATGAATTCCTTTGTCAAGCCCGAGAGTATCTCGCGAAGATGAATGATTACAAATACCCTCTTGGAAAGCTTCAGCAACTAGCAGCAGCGCACAAGGCCATCGTTGACGCCCTTACTAAACTTTTACCGTCTTCCTCTTCTGCAGACGAAATTCTGCCCACGCTGATATATTCGCTTGTGACGTGCCCTCCTGAAGGGATCAACATTGTCAGCAACTTGGTTTTTATCCAGCGTTTCAGGTCTTCGAACAGAATTGACGGAGAAACGGCTTACTGCTTAACCAATTTAGAGGCCGCAATAAGCTTTTTGGAAAATGTCGATCTTTCCACACTGCGGGCCGATGAGCTGCAGGATGGTCCTCTCAAGACCCCTAGTGAGACAACGACACCATCCGCAGACCATATCGATCCTTTTCGACCCCCCAAGGAGGCTACAATCTTGGCTGTGACGACTGTATCTGCATCGCCGGAGTTGTCGAAACCAGAAATCAAAGAACCCGCCTCTACATTACCCAGGCCTCGACCCTCTGCCACACCACAGCAACGACGCCTCAGCAATATCTTCCAACCGCCTGCTAAAGTCCTCGGGGCTGCAAATGATGCGGTGCGCACCACTGCCGATCAGAGCTTGAAGAACATTGGTGCCACATTGGATAGCAGTTTCAACTTTCTGTTTGGTCGCCTGAAGGAAATGCAGAACATCCAAGGACCCGGCCCGGAGGGGAGCGGACCAATACTGCCAAAGACATTGGCTGAAGCTCGCCGTCTAGTATCTTTGCCGCCTGCCTCGGCTGCCAATCAAAACCTGACCCAAGGGGAGCTCGCAGCAATCAACTCTGTTTCCGTGGATGAAAGTACACCCCCACGCAGTAGTTCAAGACTCACAGACCTCTCCAGCGGTGGCCCTACCCCTCGAGACAGGAGTGTGGACAGCACCCGAACCCAGGAGAACGGTAAAAAGTCCATCACGACATCACTACGCGAAGATTTTGCATCGAATTCGGCCATCAGCCCCCCCACTCCGTTAGAATCAATGCGAAACTTTGGCAACACGCTCAACCCTCTGAACCACATCCCGGGCATGATGAAGAACTTTGGCCGCAACACACCAGAAACTCCCAGCGGCAGGTCCGTCTCCCCATCGGGACTGGATAGGTTCAAGCCATCGCCTGCCTCGGTAGACGGCGCTAGTGGTCCTGTCAGCCCGCTCCCCACCTCCTCGTTGAAAATTGATCCTCCGATCCAGCGGTTCCTTGAGACACAGGATGCACGCGATCTCCGGATTGGTGACGTAGCTGTTCTACTAGAGGACTATAAGAGACTCGCTGCTGCGCTTTATAAACCAATTGCCGAGTCTCGGTAATTTTCTATGGTTGGATAACGTTTTTTTTGTCTCATCTCCTTCTCATTGATTGCATTGAGAGATGGAATACTCTTGCATTATGGATCGATGGCGTTATTATATCTGGTATCACATTTCATTTGGGCGAATAAACCTTGGATTAGATAGCATAGCTTTGGCGACCTCGGCAGTGAGCTACGCATTGTCCATATCATACATCATTTTAGCAAAAATCAACCCTTCAGACCAACATACGAACTTGATAAGCCCCCACGTAGGACCCCAGCAAATAAATAATAGAAAGAGAAAAAAAAAGATGCCAAAGCGTAAAGGGGGTATTAACATGAATAAATGAAGTCCCGCCGTGGGTAGTTTGGGGCATAACACAATCATCTCAAACAACATGAAAAGCCATGTCAAGCAAGAGAGCCATACACTCATGAGTGGCGTCCACGCAGAACCTCTGCACCGCCGGTTCTCATCTCGGTCAATTTATTCGTCAACTCCAAATTTTGTGTTTCAACTTGGTCATGACGACGCTTGACTTCGCCTTCAAACACAGCAGCTGTGCGACGCCGGGCACGTCGTAGGTTCTTCATTTCCGAAAGAAGATGAGTAAAACGGTCGATCATTTGGTCTCCGCAGTCTTCCCATTCATCCATGGTCATGTGGGACAAATAAGTCTGGCGTTCTTGGTCTGTCAGAGCTAACAGATGGGAGACGGCATTCCTGGGCTCTTGGGTGTCTGGGACAAAAGGTGGGTTTGGTGGCAAAGAAGGTGATTTGACAACGGGTGGAGGAGGGGTGGGGGATTTGTCAAAGGGCTCAGCTTGGAGCTCCGAGAAAGACTTTTGGTAAAGCACTTCTGGGGGGTAATCTGCCTCAAGTGATCTTTTTTTGGAATGAATGACAGTGTTACGACGGCTCCGATGAAGCGGCTCGTGCGACTCGTGCGACTCGTGCACAAAAAAGGGATCGTGCATGGTGTGGTCGACGTCTAGGTCGGTCAGACTGGTCATATCAAAGGCATTAGTTGAATGCCCCCCGCTTTCCCGTCTTTCATCCGCGCGTATAGTGCGGTCCATGCCATCATCACTTCCACCGTCGCTGTCAGTATGCTCTTGAAACGATGTAATGCTGAGTGACCGGCCAACATCTGGTGGAGGTTGAGAGTGATGGCGAGTAGGGGATGCATCGAGCTGTTGGTCGAGTTGTTCAAGAAGTGAAGGCTTTGGCGGACTAAAACGTGTCCTAGGCGTCGCTGACGAGCTGTGAGGTAGAACAATCTTCCTAGGCCCAGTTGGAGGAAGCAATTGACCCAATTTCCGCGGCTTAGACTTGGGTTGTGGTTGAGTCTGAGGCTCGGGGTCAGAGTCTACGGTAACAGGCTGCCGTGAGGTTGTTCTCTTTCTGCTGGCGGACCAGAAATTCTCCAGGCGCTTGCTCAATGGCTCCTCGGTCATACGCGGTTTTTGTGGCACATGCCAGTCGTGCGCTTCGTCGGGCTTTTCGTTATCCTCGCCATCTCCACCAAGAGACGAAGTCATTTGGCTTCCAAAGTCATCGAAGTCATCTGAGTCAAAGCCAGCTTTCTTCATGGCTTGGTCGCCCAAGCCTTCATACCAGTTAGACCCGTAAGTATGCCGTGAAGGCCGGGACTGGTAGGTCGTTGGTGGAGGGGGTTGGTGTAGGCAGCATTGGTACTTGACGCTGCTTGAGATTTGTTGTCGTCAAATCCGTAGACGCTAGTCCCCGCCACGGTGGAATCATCAATGGCCTCCACGTCTGTGTCGAACACGTCCCTGTCCCGCTGCATTCCATTCGTAGGAAGATTGCGGGGCTGATTGGGAAATTGAGATGTACCATGGAATTCTAGTAAACCACCTCTACCATTGACACCTGGAAGACTTGGATCGACTAGCTGGGTGACTGGCACCTCGACTCTGGCTTGTTCTGCACGTTGCTGGCGCGACTGGAGGGCTTGATCGGGGGCTCCGCGAACCTGCCCACCTTCTTTGGAATGGACATAATCGCCAACCCCCATGATTTTTTGTGTAATTAGGTATTGTAGGGGGAATGAAGTGATGTGTTATTTTTTTTTTGATGACGCTGAAAGACGGTGATCAGTCCACGTTAAGGTGGTTGGGCAAACGCGATATCGCCGCGTAGTCACGTGCCGATCGTTTTAAACGTCTTCAAGCCTCATCTACGGCAATTACGGGCATGGACTGGCGGTGATCTCCCTGTATAAATGCCAGACATCCATGGATGCTTGCTTGGATCCATCGTGCATGCCACAAACACCTAATGGCACATAAAAGTGTCTTATACAACTTATACAACGAACTATATTGTACTGGGCGAGAGAGGTATTTAGTTGTAAAATGCAATTCATTGGGGGTATATTGGGTACAAGTTTACATGAGCATTTCCACAGCAGAAGAACATCGAGATCATCTCAACCAGAGTCATCATCAATATGGAAATTCTCCAGATTGTATGCGACACTCCTGCCTCGTTTCTTAGCCTTCTCGAAGAGCTCAATCGACCTTTGGACCTCGGTTGCTTTCTTTTCAGTTGCAAGCCTGTGCTCACGTCTCGCTTCAAGGGAGCCAGGAGTTTCATCCATGAGCATCCGGTCGGGGTCGTGATCTTCTTGAAAGTCTGCCGGTAATGATAGCGCAGACAGGAATAGATTACCGATCCACAAGGAGATCATTCCTCTGAGCTCTAGTAATTCAGGCGAGTCAGAGTATGGAGGAGATCCTAGAAGCTGGTCCATACGGGAAGCAATCTGCTGCGCCTGTTCCAACTCCAGTGCCCTGATTGCTGTGATGGCAGCATCTGCCTTGTTTTGTGACTTCCGGCGGTGTCCGAATTCAAATTCAGAAACTTCGTCCTCAGAAAACTCATCAGGCTCTTCTTCCTGGCGAAGAGCAATATCTTTCCTTTTCGTCTTGCTTTCCTCCTGGGTCATATACACCCAAAGCCCAAACATTGCAGGATAGAAGTGCAAAGAGGAAATAGACTGTGGTGAAGATTTCATGAACGGATGGTTGAGAATAAGTCGTTCATAATATTCTTTGGCTGCCGCAAAGCCCTTGGTGGTAAAATTTACGCGTGTGCGTTCCATCGGATTCGGCATCTTGATGGTACCAGGATTGACTGGGTTTTCCTGTTCGTCACGCCGCAGCAAGATTTCAGCGCCGATGCCCCACCTTGCTTCGTTGCGGACGTCCATTCGAAAGCCTCTGTAATCTTCGCGCAAGATCAAGCCCCAAGCTCGTCCAGCTCGAACATAATCACCTTTGAGCATACATCGATGTAAAATGGCTGTCAATGCCCCCAAATGTTGGAAGCGAATGTTGCCTTGCTGGGCCGACTGAGGAGGGTAGACTGGAGGTGATAATGCCGCCAAGTCTTTAAGGTGGCGTGAGGTAGTCTCTCTTCTGAGTTGCTCATCCTTATCTTGTGCGTGAGGGAAATGGCCTTTCGGCAATTCTTGGTTGGACGGAAAACCGGCAATTCGGTACTGATGGGATTCATTCGGCGTCAATACCAAGGGAGCCCCAGCCGGCTCAGATTCTGTAGCAGAGGCTATATCAGTTGTTTCTTCGCCGTCCACATCGCTTTCACTCCATCCCACACTCCTTTTGCGTTTCCGGCGGTCATATTGAGATATGCGAGTACCAGGCGGGTGGAGCCAAGGCGGTAGTGGTAGAGAAAAAACTGAAGACGACGGCACAGCCATATGCTCAAGAGGGGGCGTATTCCATGCGCCGGAAAAGAAGGTAAGAGCCGTAGCAGTCTGTACTAGGGCCCAGGTTGTGATTGCTCCAATCGATGGTTGCACATTTGTCAGAGAGACGGGTGGTGGAAGATGACGGAATGGAATATGGTGCCTCAGGCACCCGAATCGAAGCAAAGAAGGCAAACATCATCACTTATCGTCCTCTATCAATTGCTTGCTTTGATATGACTCCTCTACTCCTCCTTTTTCTTTTCCTCTAGTTCCCCCTTTTCATTATCCACGGCGCTCTTTTACCTCAGTTTCGTGTCTGCCAGTCGCTGGCTGTTCTATTCTGAGAGTGGTTGCCATAGCTCCCCGAGATTCAAGGCTCGGCGGTTATACTACTCGGAGTGTGGGCTGTGCCTGAACTTGTTAGACAGTTTGAGACCTCTGGCCGCTGTTACTCGTATTGGGCAGTGAAATTTGTCTTACGCGTTTCGTACCTGTTGCAAATAACCCGGTTACCGCCAACTCCCTGTCTGCTCTCCACTCCTTTGTTCCAAAGGTCCGACATATACGGCTTCTTCAGAATCACCCCCGAGTATCAACTGCATCGACCTGTCAGCTTGAGCAGTAAATCAACATCTGTTTTGTACATCACTCAAATATCTTTCACTCGTTTTATCCATCTCCTAGGTTCAACCCAATATCGATACGGTCGCCGCTACTAGCCGTATGTTCCTCGCGTGGCAATGAACAATCGTTGACACTCTCTGCATCATTCCAACAGCCACAACTCTGTTACTATGGGACAGTCCTCTTCTACGCAACGTGATCCATCTAATACTGGCTATCCGGCACACCTTGCACCTTTCTCGACACAGCGTGGCCCTAACACAAGGGATGAAGAAGACATGAATCATAGACAGGCGGCTGAACACAACGGAGAGGGTGGTTTCTCACCCCTGACAGACATGAACACACACACAAGGAGCGACCAAGATATGCCATCCGACCGGCCAGGCCGGCTCTCTGCTGGAGGTTCGCAACCCATGCGGAGTATCGAGGAGGAGGACGGGCCCGAGTATGAGCTACCACCCCGCGAATACCGCACTGCGGCATTTGCTCGAATGGCAGCACGAAGACAATCGACCATGTCAAGGCTGGGCTCTAGGCTTCTTCCCAATTCAGTCATCCGTGGACTTCTCAACAGTCAAGAAGAAACTCCGGCGGAGGGACATGCACATCGACATGGCCTAATTCATATGCCCATCCCAAGATCCGAGACCGCTCACACATCTGGTCGGTTTAGTGCTTTCAACTCACTGGGCTCTAGAGGAATTACTCGGCGCCGATCCGCTCGAGCGCCATATTTTATTCCACCCCGCGCGGAGTCTGCTGGAATTCCAGATGCACCAGTAACCCCGGCATATATCGACTTGCCATCTCAAATACCCGAGCCTACAAGAGCATCCTGGCGACGGAGTGTCAGGCTACAACGCATGCGCCATTCGATTTCATCTCCCATTTCACACATGTTCGGTCAGCCATACTCAGATTTGCGGCCCCACGAAAGCCCGGAATATCAAATGTCAGATCCCTTATTTGACGATAGGGCCATGGACACGCGCCTGGACTTCGGCGAGCCGCCTCATGAACTTGATTCAGTAGAACCGGCTATCCAGGCTGGGGAGCCGGCAACTGGTTCATCTCCTACCCAGCCGAGTCCTGCTTTGATGCGCCGATTACCTGGGATTATCCGGGCGAGATCATCTAGAGTCCTGCGGCGAGAGGAGCAAACACCTCTGTCAAGGGTCCTTCAGCTCGCTGCATCCGCAATTGCAGCTCAGCTATCCGGCACAGCCGGTCCTGCGTTGCCTAATATCCAAGCATTGGGCAATGATGGGTTGGATGGCTCGTTGGAGAATTTCATCCAGAGTTTGCAGCACGCGACTTCTGCGCAGGCTCAACCGACTACAACAGGGGAGGGGCCGACTACAAATGAAGTACCCTCACATCCCGTCAATTTCTTGCGTGTATTCCGATTTGCCAATTCAGATTCACCCACGGGTCCAGGCGCTTCAGGGCAGAGCGCGAATGGTGCGAGCGACCGTGGGACCCAGAGCGATGGGATGGACGTCGACGAGCCTGCTGAGGGCGAAGGACGAACAGTTACATTGGTTGTCGTTGGAGTTCGATCCGTTCCGGCTGGAAACGGAGGTAATACCGAACTCCAGCAACCTGCAAGTCCAGGACCCGGTCTAGATGCTCTGCTCGGCCTACCCTTTTTGCCACCCAATAGTATTCCGCGGCCTCAAGATACCACTGGCGAACCTACCCAACGGGGCGATGTGCGATCCAGATTGCACCTTCCTCGGCACCCAGGCCATGCAGGACTACACACCCCCGCAGCAGCTACGGAATTTCCACGCCCATCAGTCCCCAATGCCTTTAGAAGAATGTCTGATACCGGGCCCCGTGCTGCATTCCCATCCTACCATCCCTCTGGTTTCTCTGAAAGCCCTCCGGGTCCGCACCCACCTCCATCAACCCCAGCAGAACAAGGGGTGTCTGCTTTGTCCTCCGGCACTTCCACTCCGAGCCGTAGACCATCCTCTGCTTCAGCAATTGCTCCAGATGTTTTACCTCATCTCCATGAAGGCCAGGCAATGCAACCGACGGCGGAGAGTTTGGAAGAGCCTATGGCATTCAATACAGCTCGTCAGCGACGCCGAAGTGATTCCGAGTATGCCCGTCATCGCGCCCTCGGCTCTGGTGCTGTTCGACGTAATGGCATGGTCGAACCCGATCAACCCCCGCCAAGCGGAGGTCGCAGTTGGTTAATCTATGTTGTTGGAACTAATCTTTCTGAAAATCACCCGGCTTTGACGACACCAAGCCTTTTCACAGATGTAAGAATCCCCTACTGTCCTTTATCAGAAACCTGGTGGCTAATGCTTCTCAAACAGAACCCAACCTACGAGGACATGATCCTGCTTTCATCACTTTTGGGTCCAGCCAAACCCCCCGTTGCCTCTCAAACCGACGTCAATTCCGCCGGCGGACTGTTCCGTCTTGTTGAATATGCAGGTTCATTGGTCGCCGAAGCTGTGGAAGGTGCTAGTGCCATTCAAATCTCAGACGGGGAGCGCTGTTTAATCTGCTTGAGTGATTATGAGGTGGCCGAGGAAGTGCGAGAGCTGGGTAAATGCAAACACGTCTTCCACAAAGACTGCATAGACCAGGTTTGTTACCTTCGCATATTTTGTTTCGATCTGTCCGATTACTGACCGTACATCGTAGTGGTTAACCAC